TAAGCCATACTTAGGGTCGTATTCCAGAACTGTACTCAATGCTCAAGTCAGGATTTGAGCAGACTTGAGTATGATTTCAAGCACTGGAAATACGGCCCTAATGGCAAGGACTTGAGTATGATTTCTAGTGCTTTGAATCATACTCAAGTCCTGACTTGAGCATTTAGTAGAGTTTTAGGGTCGTATTCTAGAACTATGCTCAAGTCAGGATTGCACTGGCAACTCAAGCACTGGAAATACGACCCTTATGGCAGGGACTTGAGTATGATTTTCGAGTGCTTTAAACCATACTCAAATCCTGACTTGAGCCAATGCTCAATAGTCTCTCAATACTCTACTCAATAGTAGAGTTCTAGAATACGACCCTAAGACACCGACTGAGCTCTCGACTCTCGACTACAACTTGTGAACATCAACTAATAATAATTAAGAGATTGCTCAACCTAACTCGGTTCGATATTTCTCTCCGTGTAGTTCATATATCTGTCCTGTTTTATTGAATAAATAAAATAAAAATCATGTCAATCGGTCGCTCCGTTTCGAAATGAACGTAGACACAAACAAACAAATAAAAAGGCAACCGACACAGCTTAGCATTTTAATAGTTATTAGTATTTCTAGATAGGTAATTTTCGTGTATAATAGACCGCGGGCAATCATGTTTTAACAAGTTTTTGTTAAATAACCCGATTTGTGCATTCCTGTATTAATCGGCTGGTTATGAACCAGCAGAATACTTGTTCTTACTTGTTGAATACGATTGAGCGTCGAATGAAATAAACGAGTTTATGCATGTTTGTCTTATTCCTGTCGGTGCGTGCTGCTTACGTAATTCTATATAAACAACGTAACATTTATTTTATTTTCATTTGCGGTTTCGCGCGTAATAGATAAGCAGTACTTAAGTTCAACACTTACTTACGTATTTCTCAAAACAAAACAACGTCGGAAGTAAAAAAGAAGAGACGGCAATACTGTGCGGAATATATTGAATTCGGATTCATTGAAAATGCCACAAACCCATCGTCGCCTTTGTGCCTTCTATGTCTAAAAACATTTTCAAATGAAGCAATGAAGACTTCAAGACAAGACAAGACAAGACGGACAAGACAAGACAGAATTTAAGACTGCAAGATCATTTGAATAAAATGCATGCAGATAAGAAAGACAAGAATGTAGCATATTTTCAAGACCTAGAGTAGAAGCATAATACTCAGTCAAGCGTAGCAAAACTCGTTTCGGCAGCAGCTAAGCAAGATGACGATGAACTTCGAGCTTCGTACGATATCTCTTTGTTAATTGCTCAAAAAGGCAAAAAACACAACATCGGAGAAGAGTTAATTTTGCCAGCAATAAAGGAAGTAATAACTACTGTGCTCCATAAACCGGCCGCAGATATTATCCGAAAAATTCCTTTGAGTAATAATGCTGTGCAAAGACGAATTGATGAAATGGCTGAAAACATTGAAGAATCATTGTGCAATCATCTGAGGACTAGTATTGAGAAGTCCTCAGATGATTGCACAATTGAGAATTGTCTCAACTCAGCTCGATGAGGCACTTTACCAACTAATGAAGCATTGTTGCTGTCTTACGTGAGGTTTATTGAAGATGAGAAAATAAGTGAAGAACTATTGTTTGCTAGAAATTTAGAGACCGATACAGAAGGCGACACCATATTCAATATATTGGAAAAGTTTTGTGATGAGGAAGAGATTTCTATGAAAAATATTATATCAGTTGCGGTACGGATGGCGCTCCGGCTATGACAGGGTGTCATAAAGGCTTCAAGGCGTACTTAAAAAATAAAATTCCAGATGTCCTTTCTGTACATTGCGTTATTCATAGACAACATTTGGTTGCTAGAAATTTAAGTGAACGACTATTTCAATCACTGCAATATGTCATCAAAGCAGTCAATAAAATCTGTAACAGCTCTTTGAATGATAGATTATTTCATCAGCTTTGTGTTACTAATGACGAAGATTTCAACCGTTTGTTGTTTCATACTGAAGTTCGTTGGCTATCAAGAGGCAATTGTCTGACTCGATTTTACAACCTGTTTGACGCCGTGATAGAGTTCTTGAAAACTAAGATACAGAATTGCGCAGCAAGCATCAACGATTGATACAGCTTACATGGCAGACCTGTATAAATTGTTTAACGACATGAATCTACATCTGCAAGGCGATGAACTAAATTTAATTAAAACAAAAAATGTCGTTACTGCTTTCGCAGTGAAACTGCTTCTACACAAAAAGAATATGGGCAGACGTGAGTTTCACAATTTTCCGAATTTATCAGTATCTGCAGTAACGCCGACTTGTTTGCCTATTGCCAACATTTGGAAAACCTCCACAATGACCTCACCGAACGATACCAGGACATTTTGAACTTGGAAATACCAGACTGGGTGTTGGATCCGTTTTCAAATGTCAACATAGCAATATCACCTCAGCTGGAAGTAGAACTTATAGAATTGACAACGAACGAAGAAATAAAAATCAAGTTCAAAAATGGCTACCAACAATTTTGGCTACAAAAACCGATCCCGCAAGTGTACCCTGGATTGTGGTCAATCGTTCATCGATTCTTGATAGCATTCCCATCGTCATATTTGTGTAAACGTGGTTTTAGTGCTGTGACAACGCTGCTTACTAAAAAGAGAAATCGTTTGCATGTTACCGAACGTGGTGACTTGCGGCTGTTTTTTGAGTAAATTGGAACTTGATATCAACAAACTTATTAAACAGCATCAGATTCATCCTTCACATTAGTTTTTATATTAGAATCGATTGTTTGTTTTATTTTGAATAAAAGATACTCTGTCTGAATACTATAAAGTTGCATTTCAATTATTATTCTCATTATTTCAATGCTCAAGTCAGGATTGCATTGGAAATACGACCCTAATGGCAGGGACTTGAGTATGATTTCGAGTGTATTGAGTATTGAGAATACTTGAGTATTGAGTAGAGTTCTGGAATACGACCCTAACTCATTCAATGCTCAAGTCACGATTTGAGTATGATTTAAAGCATTAAACATCATACTCAAGTCCTTGCCATTAGGGTGGTATTCCAGAACTCTACTCAATGCTCAAGTCACACTTGAGTATGATTTCAAGTACTGGAAATACGACCCTAAAGCCAAGGACTTGAGTATGATTTCTAGTGCTATAAATCATACTCAAGACCTGACTTAAGCATTGAGTAGAGTTCTGGAATACGCACCTCAAATTTATGTGTTTCAGTAAATCCACGTTTTCGTTTTTCCCTCATACTAATTTTTTTCTTTACTTCTCTATAATTTCTATATGTGATTGCTTTCAGAATAAATTATTATGTAGTTTACATTTTGTTATTTACGTTATTATGTTAAATCGCGGCATTAATTATATTTACTTTCTTTTTTCTTCTTTAACTGTTTATTTTCTCATACAGTTTCTAACCTTTTTTTTATCTGCAGTTACTGTTCTACCCCAAGAAAGCCTTTGCAAAAAAAAAAAAATTATTCCCGCCAAATCGCTCAAACGTCAAAAACGTTTTTCTTGTTGTGCTAGTTAGTATGCTAGTATAATTATTGAATTTATTCTATAATTCATTGTTTAAAACTTAATAATGAAAATAGAAAGCAAACCACTGCGGTACGCTCACGCTGAAGGCCATACAGACGTGTGCTATACTGAAGATGGACAGTAAGTTAATCAACAACTTCAGTTTAAAGAGACAAATATCACATAAAATTTTTTAAATTCACAAGTGAACTTCATCCAGTTTGCATTTCTCTTACATTTACTATATTTGACATTATTATATCGTATCCGTCAAATCAACTTTATAAAGATAATATTATAAGCATGTAGTAACATAGCAAGAGCTGTGAATTATTTTTGAAAAAATGAAAATGAAAATTAAAATGAAATATTTATTCGCAAGCAAACACGGTAAGAAAAGATATTATTATACAAGGTGTCAAGAACACGTGTTGCACCAGATACTGGCACGCAAATATTAAAATAAATTGAAGTTAAATAATGTCATAAATTAAAATTATACAATTTGTCAAATAAGCAATGTCGTATAAAATTAAGTTAAAATGCCAATAAATAGCAACAGTAACAACATCATAAATTAAACAATATCAAAGAAGTAAGAACAGCACAAATATAAACAAAGTGTTTTTTTTTTATAACAAAGTGTCAAATACAAACAAAATGTCAATTTCTTTTTATTATTAAAAAATCTTTGATATCGTATAAACACAGATCACATAGCAAATCAAATAACTTTTTTTAAAATATCTGGATAGGTAAATCTGCGATAGCTGAAGGCAAGGCATTATATATTTGTATGGACATGTTATAGCAATTCCTGTAAAAGCAAGTAGTCTTATGGGAGGGGCCAGCTATACGATTTGGATATCTAGTTAAAAAATTACATACTTCACGTTTCCTAGTAAATAAGACCCAAGTTTTTTTTAACAAACATGCATACCTCATTTGTTTAGAAACATATTAGTATTTTTGTAAAAGTAACAAAAAAAGGGGTTGTTCATTTTATAATGGTTCAATTTCCATATGTTTTGTAACATTGAAGTTGATATCTTCACAATGGTACAATTATTTTAATACTTGTGAAGTAATCCTTAACTTTTTAAACTATAGATATTAAATAGTCATCATGTTATGTGTAATCTATACCATGCTATTTGGTATGGTATAATGGGCTGGAGTTTACAATTCACGTCAAGGCTATTTTATGTGTGGTGTAAGTTACATCGTTTTATGTATAACATTTGTTTTAGTAATATAATAACTTGCATTCACATATATATTTATATGGGATAGGATGATAATTGTAGTCACCATCTTATATGTAATTTTTAATAGGTGTATGGTTATGGTATAATGGGCTGGAGGTCCACATTTCGACATCTGGGCACCTATTTTGTGTGTGGTAAAAGCTACATAAATTTATTGTTTTAGTCACCTAATAACTTGCGGTCATGATGGAGATGTGCGTATATGGGTAGATATAGAAGATGACGATCCAAACTCTCACTGTGTTGGGGAAACTGCTGTGGCAGTCTGTTTCAAAGACAAAAGACTATATGTAGCTACAGATAATCATGCAGTGCAAGCTTACACTTTCCCTGCCTTTGATAAAGATGGCATTGTTACGAGATTCACCGCTCCAGTTACACAGATTATGTCTAGTGGAAAAATTGAGGTAAGTGAGTATGTACAATAAATATTCTAACTGATACAAAAAAGTGTTTTAAGTTTTGGAGATCACACTTTATACAATAAATGTTCTAAGTCATTTATAAGCACCACGCATTCATGTCTGCTGTTTATGTTGATAGTTATTTTATAATAAGCTTAGGCTACAGAACTAGAATGTACTCTTCTGTTAATTAATTTACATATTACATACATACTAGTGTCATCTGTAATGGCACTAGCCCATGTAGCGCGTTGGTCCATTCATTTATCCCTCTAGTAGCCATGTAATCAAAATGGAACACCTAGTTATATTTTCCCCAGTGATTGGAAATTCGTGTGCAAATGGTGCAATTATAAATGATGTTGGGAAGTAATAACGTGGTTACTTGGACGGCGTCGCGAGCAGGCTCTACACAGGCATCGCGAGCGGCTCTCGCCACCCCCTAAGACCTTGAGTCGGACACCCTACACCATGGGTAATGCCAGTGCTCAGTTTCATATCAACAGACCACAAATTTAATTTTGCAGGCTTTGGGCTGTTCGTCAGAGAACATGGAAGCTAAGATCTGTAGTCTTGAAGGTGGTGCTCCACTATTTGTCATGTCGGACCACAAGGGCCCTGTTTTAAGTGTAGCAATCTGTCCTGAAATGAAGTATGTGAGCACAGCATGTGGTGATGGCATTCTTCGAATATATGACATTGATACACAAAAACTTGTCAAGGAGATAAGTTGTGTGCCTAAAATTAATACATTCTATGCTGCTAAAGTTTTATGTAAGTATAGATTTGTGTTATTAAGGAAATAACAAATATAAATGGAAAATTAATAAATAAATAAAAATAACATGTGGTAGCAGCCATATATGCCATTTTGCTGTTGCCAAATATGACAAAATTCTATTTTATATGAAAACAATATTAGTTTTATTACAGTCATTAGTTTTATTTATTTTGTCAGTTCCCCAAAAATGTTATTATTTCAAATTACGTCTTTTAATATTGAGGGTGCAACATGATTTTGAAATGAGTTAAAGCACTTGTAACTCTAGTCCATATTACTAGTGTATACCTTAGAAATATCTCCATACTGCCCCATTATGATGAAAAGAGCAGAATACTTAATATTTCTGTAAGTGAGAGGAAAAGTACCAAATACCAAATATAAATTTATACCACACAAGTCTTACCATGAACTGTTATTACGATTCAGTTTAAGACCTAAAATGAATTGTGAGACAGCGCTACATGAAGTGTATATCACCATTCCGCTTTTTGTCGTAACGAACCTATACTGAACTATAATAAGAGTTCATGGTAATGCCCCTGAGTGTTTTAAAAATGGATTGGTAAATGAGGCTCTTAATTAAGCATTTAAAATAAATCTTAATCTTAAATAAAATATCCTGTTAAATTAAAAACAAACGAAAATATGACTTAATGTCTTTTACCATTGCATGATTTTAGTATTCTAGAGCAATGCTTGTAAAAACACCTGAATTCCAAAATATGGACTTGGGACCGACAGGTTTGTTTATTAAACCTATTTTCTTTTATCATTATTTTATTTTTAGTGGTACTATAATAGTGTAATGTCCTTTTACAGGTCGTATGAACTTTGAACCATCAGAAGGAAAATACTTAGCTTACCCAAACAACAGAGAAATAATTTTATTGGATTGTGAAAGCTGGGGGCAGAGGATGACATTTACACATAATTCGGTTTGTATTAAAATTAAACACTGTAATGAGAGTGAATAATTCATAGAATAACCAGACTGAAGTGACATTGGACAGAGCACATTGGCTCTAAATGAAAACTGCATCTGTGGTCTTCATTGTGGAAAACTGTTTGAAACAGACAATCTGTGAGTGGCAAATGAGAGAGTTCTGTGTTCCGTGTATGTAGAGGAAATAAAATGTGCAATAGAGTACTTTATGCAATGCAGGAACTGGTCAGTGAATTATCAATATAAATAATAAATGACAAATTTTATGCTAGGGACTTAATTTTTTTTGTTCTACTAATAGAATTCAATTTTAAAAGACAACAGTTAATATTTTGTATAACTCCTATCATTTGAATAAACAATCTTTTTTATTTATTGGCAGTGCCCTTTTATTAGAGGGCTAGAGATTTTTGAAAGAATAATTTTCAAATAAACCACATGATGTTTGTACTGTAATGGTTGTTTCTCTTTGACAACTGTGGCTTTTTTCATTGGTGACATAACATAATAATTATTTTTCAGATAAAATGTGCCGTATCCCAATGCCAGTTTTCCCCATGTGGGAGTTACCTGGCGGGTAGCACAGTGGCTGGGCAAATAGCTGTGTGGGAGGTGCACTCAGGAACATGCATGGGTATCATTGAACATCCAACCTCACACAATATTTCCGCTTTGTCTTGGAATCCTAAAGGTCAGGAGGATCAAAAACATCGATAATATATGTATAGGTCATTCATCAGAAAGCATAAATGGTATTTAAGAGGAGTTTTCATCTATGATTACTTATTGTACAGCAACTTTTATTATGCAATATTTGAAATTAGAACCGAAGACCATAGACCAAACCCACAACCCGCTTTGAGTGAGTGTGGCGGACTATGGCCTAATAAAACCCTCGCCTCGGAGAAGACCCGTGGCCAGCAGTGGGATATATAAATGGGTTTATAGTGATTAATGATTATAATTGCATTTAAACTGGTATAAGCTGTACTGTCGATTTGTATTGGAAATTGCTTAAGGCTCAACTCGTCGAAGCGTCGCGACGCGTCATGTTTTTCACCTATAGCATATTCATCTCTATTTTCCCATTATTAAGGTGCAAATTTGTGTCTGTGTGTGTTGTGAAATTAATGGGAAAACCTTATCTACGATGTGTATACAATTTGAGAAATAAATACATTTTTATTATTCCCTTACTTATATGTTATAAAAAAAGAAAAAGAAACAAATAATAATAGAAATTTTCCAAACTCTTATGTGGCACCTACACTCTTGTCACAATATTTTTAGACTCTATAATAATATGTTCCTAAATTAGTCAAGTCATTATGTTTCTAAAATAGTCAATGTGTTTTATAGGTAATGGCGTCCTGGCGTATTGTGATGTGGCTGGTCAACTGGGGACCCTAGTCAATTGCTATGGTAAAAACAGCAGCAAGTTCGGCACGGATTCTGAAGACGTGGAGGTGGTAGAAAGAGCTGATGGTGAGGTCTTTAAGGTTATTCATGAAAGGATTTAGCATGTCTTGGCTGTTTTCTGTGTAGGTAATCTATGTGTCACCTGTGTGTCACTCTAATGTAAGGGGAACAGATTTGATATCCGTCTTATCACCATTACAGCATAAAGGATGTAATTAACAGTTTTGGTGAAAATTTATTATTAATATTACAACATAGGTCATAAAACTTTGTATCAAACTATGGAACTAACTTCAAAATTAAAATCGGAAGTTCCTTTTTTTTTTCAATTTAATGGAACATTTTTTTACTGGTATTAGATAGATAGATAGATATACACTTTATTGCTCACATACAAGAACAAGAACTGTACATGAACAACTTAAAACTAATGTTAGCGAAGGCGGTCTTGTTGCTAAGAGCGATCTCTTCCATACAACCTTTGAAGTAGAGGAAAGCTAATCGGAGTGGGAGAAGTTATGTGCCAATTTGTGAATAAAAATTTATTTTATTTTATTTTTAACTTCCATTGTAATTTATGAAATAATAAATAAATTACGGTATATTATACCTACATAAATATATGTATGAATAAATCTGTCTAAATAAACTTATACTTACCAATAAATATACATGTTACAAACTAGGACTGTGTTAGAAGATATTTATGCAATCCGTACCGACCATATTAGATTCACTTTGTTCTCAGTGACATTCATATATGTGACTGTTATAAAAACATTCAAATTATCATCAGTAAAAAGAATATTTAAAACATAACACTTTAATACCTTGAGGAACTCATATTGTTTGCCTTTTACATAAACACTACACTGTGGATATTTTGTTTTATGGTTTCATTTGATATCCTTACAGACAACGACGACTTAGTAGAGAATCTAATAGAGCACTATGAAAGCGACGATGACAATGCTATATCTTTGGAGAAAATAAAGAACGAAACACTAGGATTGATCACGGAACAGGAGGACTCCAGGCCATCGTCGCGTCAAGTCGCACCCGCGCCTGCCACTGTGCCGCCGCAGCCACCGTTCCAGCCATCTTCCACTCCTGCGCATCTTGAGAATAGGTACCACACCTGTTGAATTTAGACATATTAACTGGTTTCAGACAATTTATATCAAAAGTCGACATATTAGTAGAAATCCTTTCAATAATAAGTAAAATGTTTGTTGTGTAATAATCATTCAGCACGACATGTACATAAATATTACATATCGGAAAAATTCGGAAGCAACGAATATTTCCGAATGAAATCACTCGTGTATTTACAATGATATTACTATGCTCAGTGTGTATTTATGACAAATTGAAATTACATATGGGCGCCTTCAAATCAGACGCATGTAGAACCGTTACACTGGCGCCACTGTGGCGCTGCAGCTGCCTCACTACTAATTTTTATACATTATTTAGAAGCGCAGTTGCAGCGCCACTCTCGTGACGCGCGCGCCACTAGTAGTCGCAATACTAAAAATTACTGAAGCGCTACAGATGCACGGTTGCCACGCCACAGTCGCGGCACTGCAGCACTTCTACAAGCATCTAATTTTAAGACTTCCTTAGGCAACATTTACAAAATAATATAAGTATTTCCCTGTTGTAATAAAAATAATATATATTTTTTTAATGAAATGTACTTGCTCTTGACAACTATCTAGCTCTGGAACAAAGATAAGATCTACGATTGAACGAGCTCGCCCAGAAGATGCCTATTCAGTTGCACTTTAAAGATACTGTTTATACCCGTTTCTCCTACATTTGTACTAATTGTTTATTTATATCTCATAGTTCTTTGCCTGATCTCTTTATTTTTCTCTTTCTCCACCTTCCCTGTCTCGTTAATCTCGTTTCCAAATTAAATTTTTATGTTATATAGTTTACGCGTTTCCAAAACAAGTCAAAAATCTTATAAGTGGCTGAAATGTTAACTGCGAAAAGCCTGGTAGTAGTACCTACTATTTATGTAATAGAATTTTGATAGAACTTGGTACTTCAGTACCAAAAGGCAGGTTGTACTACGGTACAGAGAAACTGACTCGCTAACACCTTAAAAGAAAAGTTTTATTGTTATGTTGTTAGAAGTAAGCAAAATAAACTTAAAAGTCAGTTTACAAACACAATGAAATTCATTACATTTTTATTGAATTGATATTCAATTATTTTTTGTGAAATTACTCCACTAGTTTGTTATAATTATTATTACAAAGATCGAACACTCAGAAACGCTCAGAACGCTACGACTAAAAAGTCGTTGAAAGACCAAGTACAAAGACACGACGCAAGCACATAGAAAAATTCGTGAGGCCCGTTGGTTCGTTCCGTGGCTTAGTTGGTATAGCGTCTGGCACGGTATGCAAGAAGACGTCGGTTCGAATCCGACCGGATCGAATGAATTTTTTCTGAGTGTTTTTTCTGAGTGTTCGATCTTTGTAATAATAATTATAACAATGAAATTCGTTGAACAGCCGAATAATAATAAGACGTTACCCTTATTGGAAAGCCGTCACTGGTTGGTAGTATGACAGGTATCATGATGGTCAATCAATCAGAGACGGCGAGCAAGACGTACCAAAATCTTTGTATCACTAATAATAAGAAATTAATGGAGTATTTTCACAAAAAATGTATGAAAATAATGGTAGTAAAACATGATATTCCGCAAATAAATAGTGCTCAACCTCAAATGGCTTTGGTTTATTCCGCAAAACGTTGAAAGTGTTAAATCAACCACTTTGAAAAAAAAAAACATATAGTAAAATAAAGGATATACACTGATTACTATACGGTGTGAAAACACGATTCCTAAAAAATACGCGATAGAAAAAAAAAACAATCTTACATGTTTTACGAAAACCGCTGTATTCAATAGATACTTGACATATACCATTTTTTTATATCAACTGAACTAAATTGTACACGTATACTATACGATATACATTTTTCAAATAGCTTTAATTTCGTTTGCAAAAAAATAAATTCTGAAATAAAGCCAGTGTCCCTGCCGCTCGACCCAAGCAAAATGATCCTTATTAGTACGGAAAAATTTTGAATTCGAGCTGAGGTACTATAAAGATAAAGATAAAGATCATTTATTTGTGGTAGTAGGTACAGTGTGATAAAAAATAATACATGTAAGATCCACTACAACCAGTTTCGTCGAAACATACAAATATAATATAATGGTGGTGGTCGCATAATATTGAGACACGTATTAAAAAAAAAATCACAAAAATATTAAAAATAAAAAGAATAAAAATGTAGAGATATCATAATAAAATAGTCAAAATTAATGTCAAAATATAAGGCTAAAAATTTACATGTCAAAATGCGAATGTCAAACTTATATACTCTACATTCCCATGTCTCCCTAGGTCACCATAATTATATGGTCCGCATGTCAAAAATTTATAAAAAACAAAATACAATAAGTCCGTTAGAATTAATAAAAACTTTCACAAATTAAACTTAAATCCACGTCGAATTCATAAACTCTTCTATATTATAAAAACATTTGTCAATCAAATACTGCTTACATTTTTTTTTAAAAGATTCTGAATGCAGTTCTCTGGTGGATTTGGGTACTTTGTTATACAATCTTGGCAGCATACAGAGCACACTTTTTGACATTAGTGCTGTTCTATGTGGGGGCATAGCAACCGCATCATTATCTCTTCTTTGCCTGCTTCTTACTTCCGTGAGTTTAGCAAACAAATTAGGGTTTGTTTTGACAAATAATAAAGATTGTAGAATATATAAAGATGGTAATGTAAGAATATTGTATTTTTTTAAATAGGGTAAGCAGCTGTCCATGCGAGAAATACTAAATATAGCTCTTATGCACTTCTTTTGTGCTTTAAACACTAATTCCCAATCTGTAGAATTACCCCAAAAAATAATTCCATAACTTAAATGTGAAGCCACTATACCATAATAAGCAGTCAATAATGAGTTAATGTCAATTATATGAGCCAATCTGTACAACGCATAAGATGAAATGCTAAGTTTTTTACATAGAGTTTGAATGTGTGCTTTCCATGTCAACTTACTATCTATCATTACACCCAAAAATTTAGTTTCGGTTACTTGTCCTATACTTATTTTTTCGTAACTAACATTAACGTTATTATTATTCTGTCTGTGACTGTAATGCATTACTTTAGTTTTCTCAAGATTGATACTGAGATTGTTTTCATTTAACCAAGATATTACAGACTCTACAGCTTCATTAATTTCATGTTCATATGTACTTTTGTTTTTGCACTTAATCGTTATTGTACTGTCATCTGCAAAGAGAGAAACATGGTGATTCGGTACAACATTAGGCAGATCATTAATGTACAAAATGAATAGTAGGGGGCCTAAAACACTGCCTTGTGGAACGCCGTACAGTATTTCTCTAATACAAGACCTAAATACACATTCAATTTTAGTATAACTATCTATGTTACTGATTTCAGTTATTTGTTTACGGTTATTAAGATACGATGATATTAATTTAAGAGTATTACCTCGTATACCATAGGTTTCCAGTTTACCTAGCAGTATTTTGTGCTCTACATGATCAAAAGCTTGAGTCATGTCGCAAAAAATAGAGCAAACTGGCATACTTTTATCGACATTTGATATGACTTCCTTCATGAAATCATATATAGCCATATTTGTATTCTTTTTAGGCCGAAAACCTTTTTGCTCATGGGTTATTATATTATATTTTTCTAAAAAATTTAGTAACTGCTAACTTATGTACTTTTCAAATACTTTTGATATGATTGGTAGTAATGCTATGGGCCTATAGTTATTCATTACTTCCTTATCCTCTTTTTTGTAAAGCGGTTTGATTATGACTGTTTTTAAGTCTTCCGGATAGATACCTTGTGTTATACACATATTTAGAATATAGCATAAATGATTCTTTATTTCCTCAGCCACCGACTTCAAAACCTTTGTACATATTTCGTCATATCCAACGCTTTTAGTATTCTTTAGTGACTTTATAATTCTTATAATATCTTCTGGTATACAAGGTGCCATAAACATAGAATTACATTTTTTCCCTAAATTTTGTCGATTGAGTACAGATTTGTCCCTAATTAGTACAGTTTTGTCAATAAAAAAGTCATTAAAAGAATTTGCAATTAGTGTTGGATTCGTAACACTAGTGTTGTTCACTTTTATACGTGTAATTGATTCCCTAGGTACATTTTGCTTACATGTATTTATTAACTCCCATGTTACTTTCGATTTATTTGAAGCAGCATTAATTTTCAGAGTGTTTTGTAATCGCTTCATGGATTTTATTGTTTTTTTTAGCGATTTCGAGTATGCATGATATGCTGATTTATTATGTTGGTTTGGCTGCTTTCTATATTTCCACAGCAAAACTCTTTTTTTTCTGCTACTAGTCTTTATGCCTTTGGAAATACATTTATTGTTAGAAGTTGTTTTAATTTTTATATATCTAAATGGAAAACATAAGTTATAGAATAATTTAAAATCTGAGATAAAAGAAACATAGGCTTTATTTGGATCCTTAGTTGTATACACTTCCAAAAAAGATAAGCTTTTTAGGCAATATTTAAACTTTTCAATGTTTTCTTTAGAATAATCGCGTCTAAGTATACGCCAATAATTTAATATACACACTCTTTTAACCGGAAATTTTAGCAACTGCGCTGTATGGTCAGATAGTCCTAAATCAATTACTTCGGCAGAATGTCCTACTTGTACATTATGTGCAAAATTGTCAATACACGTATTGCTTACTAGTCGCGTTGGATGCCTTATGCCTAGTCTGAAGTTAAAATTTAAAAGTATACATTCAAATTCTAAAACAGTACTATCTCTCTTCATTAAGTCAATATTAAAATCTCCTGCTATTACAATTCTATTTTTAGATTTTTTTAAAATGGTGTTAAACAGTTTATACAATTGTGCAAAAAATATGTTAATACTACTGCTATATGGCACTCTGTAAATACATACAACAATAACATGATAGTCAATGAGCTCTATCGCACAACACTCAAATGCACCCGTCACGCTTAGTTTTTTTACTTCACTTAGCTCTTTCCATCGCAGACCTTTTCGTACCAATACACAAGAACCTCCTCTGCTTTGCTCTTTCCTGCAATAGTATGTTGCGTTATAATAATTCGGGACATTTAATAGAGCTTCATGACCCATTTTGATAAAGTGTTCTGTCACACATATCACATCTATATGTCTACCTTTTTGTGAAAACTCATTTAAACATATCGTCAATTCATCTGTTTTGTTGATCAATCCTGCAATATTTTGATGAAGGATATAAATATGGTTAACGAAAAAACAAGTTTTCATCTTTATATAATTGTTCTTGACGTGTATTAAATTCTTCCGGAAATATAGAGTACATCATTTCGAAAATATGTTCAAAAATAATTCTCATGCCAGAATTCTTTAATAAACCAGTGCGGCTGTTAAACATGGAGTCGTCGTAGCTTAGATGAAGATTAGAGTCAACAATATGGCACGGATAATTTGCATGTGTCTGTATATCTTCATATAATGCTTTGTTGAAGCTTTCGATTCTCCAATTCATTACTGAATTATAATATCTGCCACATTTAAAAACAGGCAAACACAATAATATATTTGTGTGAGAAATTTCTTGTAAAATATGTTTTATTTCTTTAATTAATGCATAATAATCCACACTTGATCGGAAGTCTTCATGCCCCATCATAATAATACAATAATCTTTCATTGTGAATCTTTTCACTTTTGAATGGATTTCATGTAAAATTTGGAGAATGCCGCATTTTGGTTTTATGTAGTGGCAAAGTTCAAATTCCTCACCTACGGTTTTTTTAGAAATAGACAGTAACAGTACAGTACTATCGACTTTTAATACAGTGAAATCTCTCGTCAGATTCTAGTAGCTCTAAAGGCACCTGTGAGTAACGTCATATGTTGCTCACAGGTGCGCTGACGGCGTAAAAAAGTGTAAAACAAATATAAAGGTCTGTAACCAACACATAAATAAATTTGTAAGTTCTGCTAACTCGATCTATAGTTCAGTTGATTACGAGCGGTGCCTCGGCATGGCAACAGACGCAGTTTGTAGTCCAGTCAGTAGGAATTTTTCTTTGTGTTCTATCTGTGTAGAAATAATAATAATGAACTCTGTTTTCAGATACATGTGTTGGAACGAAGTCGGCATAGTCCGTTGCCACACGATCGAGAATGGCGAGTCGAATATCGACGTGGAATTCCACGACACGAATCTGCATCATGGCATTCATTTAAACAATTACCTGAATCACACTATGGCTAGCTTGTCGTCGAGTGTTTTGGCTTTAGCTTGCGAGACGCCTAGGTAAGTGGGTTTTGAAAATTTTGCATTTGTATATTAATTATTTGGTTACATCATAATAACAAATTTGGTCATGTCAAAAAACCGGCCATGAATGAACAAAAGTTTATTAAACTATCGAAAAACAACAGTATATACTATTATCAATATGTAACGTTATTAGTATTCCATATGTAGGGTATTTATTTGTTCTATAAGGTGATATTCTTTAGACCTCCTTTGCATCTCCTAATTTTCTACCCTAAAGTCCTCTGGCGTTAATTACTTAGCTATAAGACTGCCTGTTGTATTAGCTTATTCTGTTACAGTTACATTACTGGTCTGTGTTGTCATTGTAATGTTTAAGGAACAATAAAATATATTTCATTCAATTATTATTATCATATGGATGACCTATCGTATGGATGGCCTTACTATAGATTTCAAATATAATACCCGATGAGTAGAGCGTGTGAACAAGAGATAATTTATGTTGTTCATCTCTCCATTATTGGAAGTTCATAATCAAAATGTTTACCCTGTCATAAATGGTCTATACCATAGGTTCCCAAATTTTTGACTCCTTGCTCACCACGAAAAATAATTGAAAACACGTATTTTTTTATGTTAATTTAACACAAAAAAATCACAAGGAAAAAGAATGTAGGGTAGTTTATTTAGTTTATAGACATTAATTTATATATTTATTTATAGATAATTCAGGTTTTTTTTCAAATGCGGTAGCACCCCCTGGATAGCATCCACGCCCCCCAATTGGTTCCGAGGCCCTACCGCTCCCTAGGACTCTTCAGTACTCACTTGGGGGCAGTAGGGACTACTTTGAGAAACTATGGTCTATACGCTATTGTATTCTAAGTCGATGAGCTTAACCTAGCTAATTCACCAATATAATTTATAATAAACAGCATGAAACACAAATTTTTTATCTACTAATATTACTATAGGTATACTCAATTATGAAAGTACTCTTTGCAGCAAACTAGTGTGCATATCGCTAGTGGGCAGCAGCAAGGAGTGGAGCGTCTCGTTACCCGACACGGAAGAGGCGTTGTGCGTGGCAGTCGGCAGCGGCATCATCGCCTGCGCCACCACTGCGCGGTTGCTCAGACTGTTTACGCCCATGGGCACTCAGCGACAGGTACACTGAACTTCCACTTATTTCGTTCAGCCTTGTGACGATGCTGACCTCCTTCCTCGCCGTCCCACCTGTTTATCATCCTCTGTTCTTGTTCCTGGCCACTTATCTATAAATTTTGAATCGTTCTTTCTTCCTTCTTTCACTTTTTCACTTTCTTACGTTTGTTCGATCCATTGTCACTCCCACCAAAATTCTTGAAATGAGAAGTTGTGCCTATGAATCACAAATCACCTCCATTTTCTTATTGTTAAACTTCACATAAACTTCACGTCAACCGTGACCATGGGACCTGTAAAGGGCCCGAAACGTCGGTTTGTTTGAAAAAACAAATATACGCGATTTAAATCCGGAAAAATAGTTTCATTTCCTAAACTTCACATCGATTACTATTAAAATTATATAGTTATATGCCCTTTTGGGATGAGTATTTTGTATTATGCTATTAAGTTTCATGGGGAGTGTTTTATAATAATTATACCTTTTGCATATAATTTTATTATGTTTTACAGTCTTCCTTTTCCTCTTTTATCATCTCTTACCATAAATCTGCCTAGTGAGACTTCTGCATTCTCATTTCTCTAAGGCTAAATTCACTGGACCGTATTTCTTTCTATATTAGAAATGACACATTGTTCAAATCATACTGTCGATCGTTTTACTGTCGCGTCACGTGGGTTAATTATACCCAAAGGATTTTCAGCGAGTTACACGTGCTATATAATGACATGTTCAGGGTGCTCTTGGGGTTGCCTGGGTACTGCAGTGCTTCTGGTATGTTTGCTGATGCACACATTGTTTTTATGCTGTGATGCGTAAACTAACAGTGTCAGTAAGACGCAGAACGCTGGACAGCCCCAATAGCATACTAAAGATACTAGCCAGTAAACAGGACAGTGCCTGGCAAAGGTAGTGGGTACTGGCTCTTATAAATCCTCATGCTGAACTGAACTTGTCTTGTTTTGTGTTTTTTTAAGTACTAACACCGCGGACTCTAATGATCTGAATAAATAAGATTCGAATTTGAAATTCGAAGTACGGACCTCAACAATAACTTTTTATACCCGTATTTGAGTTCGTTGTTTATACTTAACGTAGCTAAATAATGCAATAGTTCTTTTGGTCTTAGATGATGCTAATAATCACTTGTCAGTTTTCTATATCCCTTAAGAATATTTTCTCTTTCTAGGTGATATCTCTACCAGGTCCCGCAGTAGCGTTAGCAGGATACAACACTACCGTTTTTGCTGTGTACCATAGAACAGACCCTGGATTGTCGGACCAACATCTCGCTATGGATATCATTGCGCTTAATGGTTTGTTGTATTTATTTTTTTCACAGTTTCTCAAACAAAACGACCTATTTGTAATAACTCATATTTGGTTCTAGAAAGAATAACAGACACGCACAGAATGTTTAAATACATCTCACATAAACATACAATTCATTTCAATAAAATTTGCAATGTGACAATCAAGAAGATAAAGTTAAACCATAGATATAGAAAAAAAGGGAAGATATGTAATGACGCTATGTAAGATCGGGTGCCGATGTCGCCACTTTTTAGCTTCTGTGCAATTCAAACTTTACGCTCTATTATCTACTACCATAACTTTATAATTTGTAAGTCAATGCATAACTTAAAGATTTTGATTGGGTAAGGCTTAAAACGTGAAAACGACGTAAAACAATTTTAAAATTTAACAAAATTAAACTTACATTCACTTGAATAAGAGTTATATTACAATATTTCAGTATTTTTTTCATCCTGGTTCAGCCAATCACCAATAGGTGGCGTTTTAATAAAAATAATTGTTCCGAAAATAAAAAGAAATTTATTGTAACTAGTAATAATGATATGTAAAAATATTTACATTAACGCACCTTGCGTTAATGTAAATAATACATGTGTACATATCATTATTACCAACATTATTGCCGACGAATATCTACATCTTGATTACTTGTAGCGTTGCCATTCTCAGTCACTTTTTCCCGGCAAACCGTGACTATGAAGTGTGTGTATTTGTTCTGAACTATCAGGAAAATAAAAAGAAATTTTATTGTAACTAGTAATAATGATATGTACACATGTATTATTTACATTAACGCACCTTTTCAGTCCACAAAACACGACGAAGTGATTTAAAAACAGAATGACTTACAATAAATTTAAAACTAGAAGATAGGTTCCCAACTCTACTGCCACCATTTTAACTAGTCGTAAGAAATTGGTTAAAGTCACCGACAGGTTAGACACTGATGCCACCACCAATCAATTGTCTACTAACGTATTATAATTATAAAAATCTATTTAATGACATTCTGTACAATATTTATAGCAATTTGTTTTATATATTTGAAAGGAACTAAACAAAGCTAACCATTTTTACCAGCACTGTAAATTCCATGTACCATTGCAGGCCGCCAAGTACGCTGTAAAACAGTCCCATTACCTTTAACACCTGGGTCCAAACTCGCGTGGCTAGGTGCCTCAGACGTCGGGTCACCGTGCGCTTTCGATAACACCGGTCTACTGAGGATGTATGACATTGCCAGCGGAGTATGGATGCCTATATGTGACACTAATACACACTCTAGAGGTGCTTCTGATACTTGGTTTATTGTTTCGGTAAGTAAGAATTCATCGACAAAAGTATTGTAAAAATGACTGGAATATGTTAAAACAAGAATAGGCTCAATCGTGCGCCTTGAGAAACGCCCACTTAAAAAAAAAATATTATTACTGTACTTGGATTATCGTTTCCTTACAACTGAATTGAGCGTTTCTCAACAATGATGTTGTTGAGCACAAATGTTTAGAGTGTTATAAACAAGAAGAGGCTTTAGGCTCAACTCACACTGGTGCAGGGACGAAGCGTCGCAACAAGTAATTTTTTCGCCTATAACATATTCATCTCTATTTTCCCATTCTTTATGTACAAATTTGTGTTATGCAAATATGGAATCGCGAGTCGACGCTTGGTTAAAGTCAAGCGCTTCGACTGCGCCAGTGTAAGTTGAGCCTGATTGTGCTCCTTGAGAGACGCCTGTTTTAAAATTGCATTATTAGTACTGTACTTGGATTATTATTTCCCTTGATCTGAATTGTAAAATTTTATAAGAAACTTTAACAAGCTTACGAAGCTTAAATTTGATATGTAGCAGTTAAAAATGTGACATTGTACTCTTGCCTACTCAATATATAATTTATTAATTTCTCACAATTTATTAATTTTCGGCAGTCAGTCAGTATTAACAATATACAGGTTTTTGTTTGTCAAGAATGAGACTTCGTAAGGCTTAATTTCCTGTATTTTTAGGTGAGCGAGACTACTCAGAAAGTTCGGGCAATCCTGTGTAGAGGCGCGTCGTTCCCCCCTACCGTGCCTAAACCAATTGTTGCTGAGTTAGCTTTACAGGTATACAAATACAAAGGTCCGACAATACGCGTATAGTAAAATTCGGGAGGTCCGCAGGTTCGTTCCGTGGGTTAGTTGGCACGGTATACTAGAAGACGTCGGTTCGAGTCCGTATCGAAGGATTTTTTTATTTACTTTGTATTAATAATTATAACAAAGTAGTGGAGCAATAACACAAAAAAAATAATTGGATATAATGGTGAAACATCCTGACATTCAATAAAAACACTTAATTAACTTTCCATACTTCATTTATTCGCCCATATTTATATCCTACTTATATTTGTGGATCTCCTATAGAAGATAGAAGTTTTTACTTTACGATAAGGCACTTGTATATCATGATATCTTCGAACAAAATCCAAAACATATCTATGTCAAATGCTATACTAGAGTTGTTCTAAAACGTACACGTATTTGCATACAGCAACATGCACGTCATTTTAAACATTTCACGAAGCAATAGTTAATTCTGTTGACTAAATTTTTTCGTCTTCGTCGACGTCTACTAAAATGAAACTAAGGCGATTCACATATAAATTGATATTTTTAATCATTGTGATTGAAAAACTCCCTAAGGACCAATAATTTAACTGTATCAAAATTATTTCATAAAAAACGATTAAAAATCTTTTGACAATTTCTCAGCGTCTATCTGGTATAGTATCAAATTTTCCCATACTGTGTCAGTTAAAAGTGTGAAGTGTCTGTCTTTTGATATTTCAATTTTTGCTTATTAAAAGTTCCAGTCCACTAGACCTGTATTTCAATATGTAAAACGCTTATTACACTACCCGATTACAGGAGCCCTGCGTCAAGAGTGGGGATAGCCCCAGGCGCCGTTCTTATTACATACAAATCAAGATATATAAGTCGCCTTAATTAGAGATCCTAACTCCCTAACTTATAGTCTCGTAGAATAAATACTTAGTTTTGTCAACAATTTTACCCAAGAGATTGTTTTACATCTTTTAAGAATTCAACCTAAAAGTTTACGCCATTTTTAAATCTTCCATCCGCTGCTTTTTCCATTTGTATCGGCACCTGACTCTGTCTCTTTTCAAGACTCCCGAAGTTTAACGTGGAATTCCTAATTTCAGATACCTTTATGTGAGCTGGACACCGAGAAAAGTCAATATGAAGAGCAGTTAGTAAGGTGGGCGCACACAACGTCCGACGTCGATGTTAAAGCTGCTAGGGAGACTTCACTTAAATTATTTGCCGTGAGTTTCAATGGTATAGTAAAATTATGATATAAAAAGACTATTTCAGTGCCGACGATTGCACTCCATTTTTTGCTTGCTGCTTTTATTCGTTTACAGTATTAGCTTCGAACGCTAAGAACGAACTACGCCAGTTCAGGACTAATAAATACTTTTTTATTCAGCCGTCACCATAACCGACCGACAAAAAAAAATTGTTTCATTTCCTATGTGTAACAAACGCGGCAACCTAGGGATTCGATAAATACTTTTTTATAGTTTTCTGCTGTCTCGATTTTTTCGTCCCATGCAATGAAATGTTTTTTTCGATCCTTATATAAAAGTGAGTCGATCGGCATGAAAAAAAAAATCAGTTTTATTAATTTTTATGGGCAACACACGCTTGACCAAAAATCGACAATACCGAAATTGTTTTCACAAAGGAATATTTAATGGTACCTAAGACAGCTTCCTTGTATCGTCTATGGTTTCGGATTTCCTACTACTTCGTTTGCTTTCATAAAATATAATCTTGAATTACTTTACTTTGAATTTGATTTATCCTTCTTCTCAATAACGCTTTTACAGCGATGACGATATCTTTCTTCACGCACATCGTAGAGATATATATTCTGTACTTTTAATATGTTAACATCTGTTTACATGTTCGATTTATTTCAGCTTGCCTGTCGAAGTGAAATTGAACCCCGAGCCATAGAACTAATGGAGCTATTAAAAGACGATCGACTTCTTCCTCTGGCAGCTAAATACGCATCCCGCCTAGGCCGAATGCATTTAGCTGACAAGCTGTCAAACTTAGCCGAAACTTGGGAGAGAGAAAACGACCGACTTAATGTCGCTAACGCTCATTTCACGGAGTTGGATGCGCGCGAGACGTATGACGTAACGAGTACTGATTCAGAGATTAATGCCAGTTTAATTATACCGCAGAATGCGAAGGAAAAGAAAGCTTATAGTCCCATTAAGCCTGTGGTAAGTCACAGCAATTTGTTTGCTTGCTTATTTAAATCGATATCAGTCTCTAACATTCTTTAAATACATACACAAATGTTTTTCCAGTTCAAACAATCACAATATCGGCAAAGCGGAAGTGGTAGTGTCCTTGTTTTTTTTTTATAATAACAAGTGACGGGACGAACAAGTCTTGCGCCTGATGGAAAGCTACACGCCTGTCCATAATAGTTGCAGTGCCACTCAGAGCTTTAAATAGCAAAGATTTGAGGGGCAGTGCCACTGCGCCCGTCACTCTGAGACATAAGCTGACAAGTCCCAAGTGCCTGTAATTGCACTTTTACCCTTTAAAACCGGAACGCAGTAATTCTAACATTACTGCTTGACGGCAGAAATAGGTAGTAGTAGTAGGTGGCAGTACTTCTTTGGGCGAACTCTTTTACAAGGAGCTCTATTGCTGCTAAAAATTATATATTGTTCCTTGTTACATCTATTATGTTACTTGAGCATTCAAGCTAATATCGATGATAAAAAGAGAGAGAAGCAACCATTGTGGCATCGCTTAATTTAGCTGTGATATGTATATTGATATGCTATTTCATTTTAACCAGAGGTGGCCAACTTTTATAGTACGCGGGCAAAAGTTTATAAAACGCGTTTATTATTCGAAAAGTAAACTGCGAGTTGCAGTTTATAGTTCTTGAAACTGTATTCCATCCATTGAATAAACCAAATAAACAAGCGTGGTTATGTATTTCAAATTCAAAATTAATACTACTTCGACCGATTAGACTCTATCGTCTATTATAATCATCAAGTAACAATCTTTTAACAAAATCTTACAAGACAGTTATCAGCTTATTTTGAAATATTCGTATGAACAACTATTCGGGACCTTCTATCGGCACCCTTACAACATTGTAAATTGTCCCTTGGGTGACTGTAAAATGTTATGCTGTTTTACGTTATTTATAGCCAATGAAAAACATACTCGGTAGTGGCAGTCGAAATCCCTTCAAGAAGCAACAAGAGGTCACTAAAAATGTTCAAAACCCTTTAAGCTTGACTGAAAGAAATTTAGTTGAAGTCCATTCTACAAACAGCGGAGAAAACAAAGACGTAAGTTGTCATATTACTTAGTATTGCTTCTGTCACTTTCTTTGGATGACTCCACTTTGTGTTGAGTGTGTGCGTTAATACTAACTCGTTGGGTTTATGTGGATATCTCCTAGTCGTCCCACCTTTTAACCCCTTTTTACTGATTAATGACCACTTAAAATTTTGAGTCGTTCTCGAATTCCTTTTTCCTTCACTATTTTTACGTTAGTTCGTTCCATCATTACTCCCACCAAAATCTCAAAACGAGAGCACGTGCTCATAATGACCTTCGCGTAAAACTCAAACTTCACGTGAATCAATGTTAAACCGTATAGATACAAGTGTATATGCGACATTTTGGACCTTTGCGTTTCTACTTATAAATAAATTATGTGGACCGGGCTTTTTCTTTCCTTTCGCTACTTAGGCCGTACGTGTAAACATCGTATCTCATTGCGCGATTGAACCTGCGGTCATGTGACATATCAACGACGTTTCAGAGATCTGATACGCCAAAATGATAAATTTTATGGAAAATCTGAACTTCAGCTATAAAGCATTAATTTTTTACAGCCAATGACACCTCAAGATGGAGAATCCTTCGTTGATTGGTTCTCACGAAACAAAACAACGTTAGAAGAGGAACATGCCGAGCTCACTCCTTCAGAACTAACTAGACATGGCATAAAGTTGTTCAAAAGTGTTCAAAGTAAAAATGGTTCAAATGAAAAGGGTTACAACGAGAGAAATGGTACTGATAATGGGAATAAGAGGAAACTCGATGATGCCAATGGCGAAGCTGTTGCAAGTGCTCCGAAGCAGTCGAAGTTAAGTGCATTTATGTGTACAAAAAAGACGTAGTAATTTATTTTAAAGAAGAAGAGCTTAATTAATTTTTTTTAAACTAATGTTGATCATTAAATTTTGTTGTATAACGCATTAATATCGAAGGTATCTATACTACGTGCCATTTAGCATGGTAATAGCGATCATTCACCCCTTCCTACCACTGTATACGTTATTTGTGAAAACGATACTTGCCGATGTTCGTACGAAAGTATTATTGCTAGCACCGTGGTAGAAGTCACCTTGACGTACCAATAACCTTGGGACAAATATTGAAACAACAAACATTGAAATAGTTTAATCGCTAGGAAACATATTAATTATATATATTATATATATATGTATATATTAATATTATGCAGGACCGACACTTTCAGAATCCGATTCAGAAGATTCGTCGCTTACATTTATGTTATTATTATTATTATTATGTTTTGTCTATGCTGTGGTCAATACGACGAAGACATATTAATACGGTGACGTCATTCATTCCCGTCACTAGCCCCATGTATTGTATTTCGTTTAACAACAAATAAGCATACTGTGAATAACAAACCAACACCAAAAGTAATAAAGTAACACCATAGTTAAAACGTGAATATTTCCGAAACTGACTGAATGCAAGCGAAGTACGACACGGAACACAGTTTTATAGATGTGAAACAAAATGGTCGAAAGGTTGTGCCCACCTGGCGTAAAAAGCTGGGTAAAAACAAACAGGGATACCTTTGGATTTGGAATGTAGCCTTTTTTAGAGGCTTGTCCGTGGTATGTTGTATGGATGTTTAAAGAAACTTTATGTATTTTATACTTTTGAAATGATATATGTAGTTAATGAAACTGTATTTATAGTTAATGATGACGAGTTTTAATACCTAGTATATTATGGTAACGTGATATAATAGTCAATTTTCATTATATATTTATATTTCATTATATATATATATATATATATATATATATTATTATGTCCATCACGCGATGTCGAATGAGACGATTTGTAGGGAATCGGCGATCGGTCGCTGCGAAATGTGTGTTCGGGATGAAAAGAAAATGATCTCTACTGCCATGCTAAATGGCAAAGTATAGTATACTATTTATCCTTGTCACTTCTTTATGTTGTTACAGATTTATGCAATATTTGTATCAATACAATTTTAAGAAAAAGACTGTTCAATTGTATTCAATATCAATTAAAAAAAAGTGATAAATTAAAATAATGGTAATAGGATAAATTAAAATAAATAATTAATTTGGTAATTACTAGTTTTCTTTTGTCTTTCCGTTTCGTTTATTTCTTTAATCGTCAATTATGGGTTGGCTAGTTCTGCTTCGTCGGGTTCTCTGAAAAGCCCTTCCTTGATCATCTTCTGCCACTCGCTTCCTCTAGGATAGCCGAATTTCTCCAGCGTACCTGGCAGGAATTCCGTGCTGTATCCGGGGAGCTAAAAACAAGGTAATGTTTAATACGTCAAATGGTTGAAGAAAATAGTAAGAGGAAGTCAAATGGTTGAAGAAAATAGTAAGAGGAAGAACGTATTGAAGATCCCATATCAAAAATCTGAGTCAATTTTGTTTTATTTTTATATTGTAGTCTGGAAATGATAAAGAAGACTAGACTTGATAAGAATATAATAACGTTTAGTACGCATTACATTTTTCGATCGATAAATGCTAAATTCTTTGTGATTCATAACCTTGAAAATCGTGGAAAAATTTGCTACTTTCGAATGCAAAAATGATAGTCGCACCTGTAATATTAATTACCCGTGGTGGTGTTTCATATGATCGTTAAAATTGTGTGTTTATATATATATGTGATATATATATATATATTAGGGTGCGTACAGACCTGGCGAATGCGCCGCAAATGCTGTTTGCGAAAGCCTCGCTAGCTGCGCACGTGCATTACGTAGTGCGATCTGTTCGCGTGCTATGCGCACGCCACATGTACTAATAACTTTGATTGCACGCATGCAGCACACGTGCAGCAAGCGTTCAGTGCGCGCGCGGTCTGCGGCCCGAGCGAAATCGAAAGACGTAACGCCTTAATCATTCTTATTGCTTGAACAAAGTTTTTCTAACCAGCTCACGCTGATTCCACGTTTATAAGTAGTAGTACCCTTGGCGTTATAAAGTCACATGTGATCTTTCGCCAGCAGTGCTTTTATCACATGTGTAGTATTTAAAAAGGGCTTGTTCAATAATACATTGTAGACGTGTTAACAATGACTGCCTGCGAGCATGCTCGCTCTGCCGCTCGACAACACGCCTCGGCTTCGTTTAACCCTAAACTAGGTCTTGCTAATAATTTCTCTCTCATTGATGAATCTTTAAGCCCTCTTATTATTTGCTTCAAAATGAAGCTATTACGTAATTATCCGAATTCAAAGCTTTGCTTTTAATTTTAAGTCCACTTAAAAATTTGTCAAAACAGTCGTCCTTTTTGATATGTCGAAAAATATACGGTGCTCGAAATTTACATTCACTTTAGGGTCAAAACGTTGTTTCAATTTTTCGATAAGTTGAAGTCGTAAGTAATGTCTTTGTGTTCAAAATCAAATTCTTCGTAAACCTCACGGCCGTACTTTCGTATCACGTGAGGAAACACACCGCACTTTTCCTTGGCAGGAGCGTTTTCGCGGCCCGATGCGATCAAAAACTAATCGAAGGCACCTTTCCATTCCATACAATTCACCGCCATATTGCCATGTTCCTGCATGACAGCTGGTTGTATGGCCGCGTATGATAAAGTCGCCGTGAACCAGTGTTGGGCAAAATTTAATTGTTCTGGCAATTAAATATTGACTATTGATTAATTGTCAATTGCGAAACAGCAATTAATATCTACAACAATTAATTACAATTAATTCTCAAAATCTACAATTAATAAAACAAATATCTACAATTAACAATTAATCAATTTTCAATCTTTTCAATGTTTTTGATTAACAATTAACAATTAAAACTGACAATTATGATAAATTTATAAGGCATATGGGGGTGAGTTAGGGCGTTGGTTGTGGGGGCCTGCTGGGGGCAGGTTAGGGGGCCGGTTGGGTCCCTGTTGGGGGCAGGTTAGGGGGCCCGGTTGGGGTCCCCGCTTGGGGGCCCCGGTTGGGTTCCTCGGTTGGGGGCCCCGGTTGGGGGCCCCGGTTGGGGTCCCCGCTTGGGGGCCCCGGTTGGGGTCCCCGCTTGGGGGACCCGGTTGGGGTCCCCGCTTGGGAGCCCCAGTTGGGGTCACCGCTTGGGGGCCCCGGTTGGGGTCCCCAACAAGGCCCCCCAACCGAGTCCCCAACCGGGGACCCCAGCCGGGGTTCTCAACCGGGACTCCAAGCGGGGTTCCCAACCGGGGCCCCAAGCGGGGTTCCCAACCGGGGCCCCTAACCGGCCGGAATTGATTTTAATTACAAATTTAATTGCAATTAAAATCAATTCAATTGAAATCAATTGCTATTAAAATCAATTGCAATTAAATTCAATTGAATTGATTTTTTTATCTGATTGAATTATTGATTGAAATTTAATTGATTAACGCCCAACACTGCCGTGAACATATTTTGTCCACTTTGATTTTTTCCAATTGAATCGTTAGGCATTTCGCAATAAACGGGTAATAAAATTCACTAAACACAAAATTTCGAGCCGTTGCCACACCTGACACCATGTAGTTTTTACAAAGGGCTTGTTCAGTGATACACCGTAGACGTGTTAACAATGACTGATGTATTTGAGCACCACCACCAGCTACCCACATTATTAAAATATGTAAAGGTACCTTCAAATACAATAACATGAAAATCATAAAAATAACACGAACTACACTAAACAAATCGTCGCCTTACTTTCTCAAACTCGTATCTTAAAGCATAAAGAAATGCAAAAAATAGATTGTATAAACAAATTTTGCAGGCTGATTTAACATCACATTTTCTTCATATTCACACACTGGCTTTTACATATTCTTAAAGTAATGCATCCAAATTAATATCCTCGATAAGAAATTTAAAATAAATAGAAAATTGCAAAACTTTCATCTGCTGAATAACTCTTTATAAGATACGAGTTTGAGAAAGTAAGGCATCGAAATTATGTATGTGAAATTTTAAATTGTAATTCATATGTTGAATATAAAAAGTTATCGAATAATTTAATTCATAGAATCTTTAAACCTCCTGAAAAGTCGATTCGTTTCACTTTGTTTATAGATATGAATATCTTGTATTAAAGCATTTTAAATTTGTTTCACCGAACGAATGAACAAACATAATAATATTGTCATCGTTATCCTACATTATTCTTGGCGGACAGAACCGTTTCTTGAAACCCATGAGTGGCCGTGACATGACCACAGATAGTCGTGAATAGTGTCGGTTTGTTTTAATAAAAAAAAATAAATTGTTTATTTCAGCGACTCATGACGCGACTATTACTTCACTAAATCGTAACGAACAATAACATTGATATCTACTATCTGTTGTTATTTATTATATCTAATACCTAGCAGACGAGTCATGGCCTCAATGTAGTCATTGATAAAATAAGTAATGATATCCGAAGTTTACGGAGAATTATAAAACGCAATGTACCAATTAGGGGAAAACGATTTTGAAACGATCCCTATCGGTTATACCGGCCAATGCCCTTTTAGTTGTGATTTCGAAATTGGGTGGTTGAATTTTCGTCAAGGTCAGAAAGTTATCAATTTGAGATATAACTTTGATCTTTTATGGTAACAAATAAATAAAAGATACCTTAGGCGCCATATATCTGGCATTAACGACGTCACAGGGATCAATGAAATGTTCGTGCTGCTGATCCACATATTCTATAAGGCGACCTTCCATGGTACCGGAGAGGCTCGCGTAGTCCCAGAACTGCAGGTGCTGCACCATCTCGCAGAGGCCAACGCCGCCCGCGTGTGGACATACTTTCACTGTATTAATCAGAAGAACAATACCACCGTTAGTCACCTATCTAATGACTCGGGGACGACCAAAAGCAAATAAAATAGGTTGAATCCCAGTTTATGCCAATGTTTTGGCCTTCAGCCTATCTTGTTTAATCCTTAAGGCCTAGGTAACCAAAACGAAATGAGAAGAAGGATATTTGATAGGAATTATTCAGTTCAACACTTTTTTAGGCAATACAAATTATGATGTGCTCTATTCGTGTAGAAGTCCCCTATTTCTCATACCGCCAAGTTTGTAAGCCATGAGGTACACCGATAGAATCTCGTTAATGCCGCCGATTCGAGCTGAGTCGATCTGGCAGTATTGCATTCCGCCGCTTTGCAAGAACTGCTTGAACATGACGCGATTAGCACACATCTCGCCTGTAGCCACTCCTATATCGTACGGCCTAGAACAACGAAGAACAAATTATTAATGTAGGAAATGAGACTATTATTCCGGATTCAAATTGAGTATATTTGTTTTTTCAAACAAACGAACGAGCCCTTTACAGGTACCATGGTCACGGTTGAAACAGTGAAAAAACAAATATACGCGATTTAAATCCGGAAAAATAGTTTCATTTCCTATGTGTAATAAACGCGAAACCTAAGAACCCGATAAATTATTAATGTTATCATTGTATTAAAAATTACAATGACAATACAAGAAACAAAATTGTATTATAAATAGATTAGTTAACATTAACAATGGGGTGCACGAAAGGAGCCTCATCACAGTGGCGTACTGTTTATGACCTATGTAGGTGACGTCTGGCGCTCCCTTGGTGTGTACGTTACGCCGGGCCGATTGGTAAATCCATTCATTACGATGACAAACATGTCCCATACTTCACAGTCTGGCGGTTACTTCCAGTGACGCGGGTAGCAGCAATAATTTTTGGGCCACAATAATATAAAGTATACCATCGATACGATAAGAAGAAGTTAACATGATTATACTTTTTTTTTATAATACTAAGTGAAGGGGCGAACAAATTGTGTGTCTGGTGGCAAGCTATACCACCAAACAAGCCTGCCCATAACAGTTATAGTGCCACTCAGAGCTTTAAATCGCAAAGATCTAAGGGCCACTGCGCCCGACACCCTGAGACATAAATTGACAAGTCCTATGTGCTTGTAATTTCACCAGCACCCTTGCCCTTCGAAACCGGAATGCAGTAATGTTCACATTACTGCTTGGCGGCAGAAATAGGTAAGGTGGCAGTACTTTCCTGGACGAACTCTTTCATAAGGAGCTCTACTGCCACGTTAATATTATGTGTACGATGCAGTGTCAACATGGCTGTAGACGCTTGCCATGATTCGGTATACTTTTACAAATTGCTAACGTAAACTTGACTTCACTAGTCGCAATTCAACTTGAAGTCGATATTTTGTGCTCAAGCAAAGTACATTTTGATAATCGTTTGTGAGGCCACCGCACGCTTGATTAGTGTGAAAGACTGATTTTAACTAGGTACAAAATATGATAATTGTAATCGGTCTCGTGCTTTTAGCATATGTCAACGCTTAGCTTTATTAAGTGAAGCGCCCTAAGCGTCTGGAACTCTTGATTATCATTCTCGAGGATAAACAACACATAGCATGAAATGACGCTACACTTTCAAATATATGAATCGTTTTTTTTTGTTTAGAAATATAAAATCATTCGTCTATATAGCCGTAAGTGCGATGTGTGTGATGTAAATATATGCTATCTTTGTAAAAATTAAAATATTCATTAATACTTATATCGGTATTGTTTACTAATGTTAACGTTCTAAACTACATTAAATTTATAGGGCTGGACAAAACATGTGCAATGCCTAAATTGCGTAAAATATTTTCTCATTTTTATTTAAAATACAAAATATACTTTCATGACGTGTATTAACAATATTACTAATAAAATACAAAATAATTAAATTGCAATTGAAGTATTTCGTATTATTACATATTTTAATTACAAGTAATTCAAGCACTGCACAGCCCTGACTACATTTGCATACCTGGAGATTTAGATTTATCTCATAGATATGGGTACAATGACATTGGAATTCCTAAGAAATTGTTCGATGAATCGAAAGATATTTGAAGTTCTTACGTAATTACAAAACAGGTAAGCTTTTTTCTTACTGTAGAGCCTTGGAAATGACAGCATGGCCAATGATGTCATCTGGAGACGTGGGCTCCTCTATCCACATGGGTTTAAGTGGGGCTAATTTTTTCATCCACTCAATGGCTTCATTCACGCTCCACGCCTGATTTGCATCTACCATCTATGTGATGTAAAATGAGAGGTTATTAATATGTTCTTAATTACTTACCTATCTACTACTAAAGTTTAATTACGTTTATTTTGCGTCGCGCTATACGATGCATAATTACGGAAAATGTTCTTGTTTTAAACAGTCAGAACTAGGGATGATTTTGTCCAGGGCCATCGCAGTTTCATCACGGTCGCTTAAAAATTTAGATACCTTGTAGGTATTTTGGTGGTACATGCACTATTATAAACTCTGTTATTTTTCAATGTCTTACCAAATAATTCTTTTCTCCAATGTACTTCCGCACGGCACTGCACCGCCGGTAATCATCTTCCATGCTAAGGCCTACTTTAACTTTGAAATGAGTGAAACCTAACTTCAAATACTTCTCACATAGCTCTTTGAGAAGTTCGTCACTGTAACCGAGCCAGCCTGCGAAAAAAATAAGTGTCATTGGAATTTGATTCCGTGTGTACATTTTGAGTAGGAATACAGCAGATGTCCGCATCCGCAACCGCAGATCATCCGCATGTTTTTAAATATCTGATTCTGCATCAGACATCCGGATCAATCGATGCAGTAGGTATTTGCGGGAGCGGATGTTTTAATAATAATAATAATAATAATAATAACGCACACACTCAACATAGCCCCGCACTAGCGAAACCCTGTGTCGCGGGTGCCATGGATACACACATTGACAACCACAAATTACACCCAAACTCACGAGAGAAATAAATGTAGGCCATACAAATATTTCTCCCGGCCCGGGAATCGAACCCGGGGACCTCTGCGTGGCAGTCCGGTATGGTAACCGTTCGGCCACGGAGGCAGTTTAGGCAGTTTTGCGAGTTAGGATTCGCATCCGCGTCCGCATCTAGGTCGTAATAACCCACATTTGCGGCATCCCTGATTTGGAGTTGCGTGTAGCCTCGTGTAATAAGCATAAGTACATTACTTACTACAGTTTGCCTTATACACCTACATAGATACTTGCCTCCCATTGGGAAGGGCAGAAAGTTAATAATAATCTTTGTACGGTTATGATCCTTACACTATAGTATTTTCATTCGCATCAGGCATTTCATATATTCTCGTTTATTCCTAAGGACAATTCTAATTTGAAGGTATGAGTGCCGAGGTCATCGTACCAACTTGAGTAGTGTACGCAGGGTACCCGTGTTTCAGTAAATATTGAATCCTTTCATCTCTGCCGGTTCTCATTTTCTTCAAAAGTTCGATAGCCTCTTCTTTGGTGATCACATCAGTTATATAACGGAAGTCTATTGTTGATACTAGTTCCTGTTAAATTATATAAACAAAGTGACAAACTCGTTCGAAGTTATCAATAATTTACAAAGGCAGTTTCTTATCTCTTACATGTTATCTGGATAAAGTCTTTTATTGTAAAACTTTTAAATATAAAACATAATTAAATTATGATTTAGTTATGAATATCACTTAATAACAATATGTATTGTATACATTATATACATACATTGTATACAGGGTGTAATTATATATATATAAGACATTACAGCACTAAAATCTGAATATATGTAACCTCGGGTTCCATATCGGTTAGCAGCCTCCAAACCGGTTTATCCTCGAGTCTGGCCCACAAGTCCCATAGCGAATTTAGAATGGCTGCCACTGCTAGATGAGCTACTCCTTTTTCTGGGCCAATCTGTTGCAATAAGTAAAAAGCAAAGTAAGATATATAAAGATACGTCATAATTTAGCAATAGTGGCTTCTAGTTGCAGGAGTATAGTCATTTAAAAAGTTTACCCACCCATCTCATTTGTGAATCGTTGGTGATCGCGCGCCAATATCCAGAAAAGTCAGCAAAGATGTCAGCAACATTCCGTCCTACGACAAATTTCTTCAATGCCCGTACACAGAACACGATCACTTCAGTCCCACGCCCGCTCGTGAACGTGAGCCCGAAGCCTTGCTTGCCATTTTCCGTGATTATGTTGACGTAGGCGCAGGAATAGTCGGGATCCGTGTGCTAACAATATTATGAAACAATTCAAATTTTTCTAGGAGACTGAAAGAGTAGGCTCTCGTATTTCTTTTATACGTTATTTATCTTTTGAATTTCTATGAAACACTTCTAGAATAACGAAATACAGTTGTTAAAGCTACATTTGTAACAAAATTGAAATAAGTAAATTAATGTCGGGTCATCGCGGTCAATTGCTCTTTTTAAAACATGCTCCGTACAATCGTTGTTTGATTTTATTTTTAAATAATAACTAATCTAACAATATAAATGAACAAATGTGACGTATACTACGCACGGCTTGAAACAATAGAAACTCGAAACATAAAATTTTAGATTTTATTTTATATTTTATTATTTATATAACCTAACTGGTTCACGTGGGTGCACCACGGGCAATTATTTCTTCCCGTGGTCACACGCTTCGCATTCCTTAAATGTGTTTATCTGAAACTTCATTTGAATACTCTTCAAAGCATATAATGAAGTATGGTTTTTTTGTTCGTTTCGTTCTAAACCTGTTCTGAAGGTGTTTAGTTTTCCCAGGGAAAATCATATCCCTTGGGTCTATTAACTACTATTAACTACTATAACTATTTATAATCGTACTAACCCTAAAATTAGTTTAATGGTGTTATGGGTAAACTACGCGAGTCATTCATTCTTTCTTTCATTAGTCATTATTTCTTTTTTACTTTTTTTAAAGATGTACACGTTTACTCGCACAAAATTTACAATTCAACATTTTTTCTTATAGATTTAACACACATTTGGCCTCAATTATCTCAGGTCACAGTTCTAAATTCTAAACTTACACTTCGTGACGACTTGTAGAATTGTATTTTTATATAATTTGAGTGACTACCAAGATAGCTTCCTTAGAAGAGGGAGAAAGTACGTTTTGTGTGCAAAAATGAAGTACTTACAATGTTTTTCAACCACGCAATTTGTTTATCATTACAATATTTAATTTAAACAACTTAGATTCAGACTATCTGCAAGAGCTAAACGGGCCACTACCATGAATTTTAGTCATCCAAATACGCAGAAGCTGATAATAAATAACATTTAGTATAAAGTTTTTGTTTGATTATAGTTTCAAACATTGTAAATGCAAATTTCGAATAGCAATCGGAATGTTATACAATGCCGTTTAAATGAATTTGAGACTTTGTGAAGACGACTGACAAGAACAGCTTTTTTTTTATTCCTCGTGTTAACGTTTTATATCTGTAACTATTTTTCATTAAAAAACATATCTTAATATAAATAACATTTTCATAAATGTAATGTGACGTCAGTGTCACAATGTTAATCTCTTTAAACTTATCTCTCAAAGACACTCAGGGGCCCCGATTGTAAATTGCTCTAATTGCACGTTTCTGCAGGACAAAGATTCTACTAATATCGGCGGCATGACCCCGAAGCAAAATGCCGTATGTCATAAAACAAATCTTTCAGGCCTCTTTCGTCTGTTAGATCTACAGTGGGCACACACCTATGTCGCTTTCATCTTTGCCATTCTACGAGCTACGTCCATAACTCTAGTTCTCCAGTGAAGTTTGTATCTGAACATTACTAAATTATTTACCTATTTAACTTATATTGATGACTGCATATTGTAAGATAAGCGTGTGTAACTAAAAAAAAACCGTTACCAAAGCATCAGAGCCGTGACCTCCAAGTGACGTAGGAAATCGCACATCCTTCACTATTAAATGAGTAATTTTGAGACCATCTCGGCTCGGCACAGGCATTTTGAACTTCACTTAGAGATAGTCGGGTTACAACTGGCGTAAGATAACCTTCCAATGTTTTAAAGACGTTTTCTCTGTTATCACTCTTTTCTATGTCGGCTAACTTGTTTATTATTTTGAGCGTGTCTTGCAATTAATGTCTTTAATTAGTATTTAAATTGTTCTACGTTTCGTGAAATTTAATGTTCATTTATGTATTTTATTTACACAACTGTGATCCGTGAGGAAAATAAAGAAAATATAAAAATTTTAATAAAAAATCTTTTCACACTTTATTTGTAACAATGAAATAAATAATTAATTCTAGTGTATAAAAAATACACTAGTTTCACTTAATACTATAAATAATCTGATTTATAGAAAGATTATTCATGACCACATTCACATAACAAACAATACTTTTCTACACTCCAATAAATCACTACTAACAAACACAACGTTGGTACAAAATTCCGTTGTTTTTTATATTAGTAACAATAAAGCTCCCTTTGAAAGAGTTCGAGTTCGGGAAGTAATGCTGACAAACAATTTATGCCGCCAAGCAGAAATATGAGCACTACTGCGTTTTGATTTCTAAGGGTAAGAAGCTGGTGGAACGACGGCGTAGTAGCAGCGCGCCTCGGGCCTTCGATACTTAAAGTTGTGAATGGCACTGCAACTGTTGTGGGTACACGTGTTGCGTAAAGCCATACTCGCTACATCTTCGTCCCTTCCTTTATTTTTTTCCATCCTCTAAGGTCTCGTTACTTGACATCATAAAAAAAAACTATAAAATGACGTCTATTCCACAATTTTTCACTGTATGGAAGGAAATCATGACATCTCATTCAACTTTGTAGAAAATTTGTAACTAACTGTACATATTAACTATATCTACATTTTTAAGTCTTTTCCTCTTATCCGAACTTTCAGCTAATAATTTTGTTACTATACTGTTTTCTATTACTGCTTTCACTATACATCTTTCATATAACATCTTGTATTAGCTCGTTGTACAATTCCAGTATTGCCTTATAAAGGATAGTGATTTCACAGTACAAATAAGCGAGCGAATAAGCGATACCGTAAATATCATCAATATCACTTTAGGAAAGTTTACATTTATGACATAAATTTATTCTTTAAATGTTCTCTTCGCATCTATATCATCGTACTATTTTCTTTAAGTTTAATTAAACAAGGCGTATCAAAAGCAGTACGACCGATACGTTTCACGTAAGACTTTAAACATACTCAGCCGATGTTCGCGAGAACTTGGCTGCTAGATTTTCACAATGAGTACACATATTTATTGACCATTCATAATTCGAGCTCTGGTTCTTCGTTAAGTCTTTCTTCTCTGTACATACTAGCGAGTTCGTTTACCAATTGCCTGTGCCCATTTTCCCATAAGTTTGCCGATAAATAGCCTAATGTGGCGTTCTCTGAGTTGCGTAGCCAGTCTAGTAGTATTTGGTAGCGGATCTGCGGAAATTCGAAAATATTTAGTTCAAAACTCTATAAAAATATCTGGCAACCTGCAATTTACGTGGCGAATCGAGTTTTCTTTGGTACAGGTAACATAATCTATTGCGATTTAAATATTTTTTGTTAACCTTCTACTTTGGTACAACAATGAAAATTGGGTTGATTTGAAAATAGCGGAATGCAAATTCTGTAAAAAAATTGTATTCAATCATTTGTTCAATATTCAATTATCAAGGATTATTTTCATTAGTATTCGTAATATCATATTCACACGACATTAGTGTCTTGAACTGCGTCACATGAAATATAATACCCAATAAATATGAACAAAATATATATTTAATTTTTAATTTTAATAAAAACATATATTTCATTTACTTACTAAGCTGAAAAGTGCTTATATGATTTTGGGTTCGGGTGAAGTGCCAACCTACCTCTCGTATAGGTTCCCTTGGATTCTCGTAAAGATAGTTTTCGATGATTTGCTCGTCTATGCCTATATTGACGAAAGTCCTCCTCCATGTCCTACCAGTATACGCCGCTGTATGCAATAGATACTTGCGGGTAGGCTGCAGTAACAATATTATTTATAGTAACATTTCGGTGAATTTGAAGTTCTGTATGAGTATTCCGTACCTGTCTACTTTTGTTCTCCGCCCGACGTCCGTCCAAAACAATTTTCCAGTTTTGAAGGGCAAGGGTGCTGGTGAAATTACAGGCACATGGTACTTGTCAACTTATGTTTCAGGGTGATGAGGCGCAGCTGTGGTGCCCCTCAGATCTTTGCGATTTATAGCTCTGAGTGGCACTGCACCTGTTATGGACAGGCGTCTAGCTTATCATCAGGCACCACTTGTTCGTCCAGTCATTTGATGTTATTATAAAAAAAAACAATTACTATGAAATAAGTAAGACTCAACCAAATGAAATTGCCAGAACGGTACAAAGTGATGGCGATGGGTACAAAAGATACATTGATGTTGTGGACATGAAATTTTGCATTATTGCATTCCTTTTTGGTTTGCAGTCAATTACCACACAGGACAGGTACAGTAAGTAGTAGTAATGGTCTTGTAGGTATATTTTATACAATAAATAATATAAAGTACCAATTTTTAAGGTTATTTACCTTAGAAGTGCATTCCATTAATGAAACTATGTCATTATCTTTCTCGACCATTTCCGGTTGATCTTCTTCAAGCAAATCGTCTAGCTGCTTGGTATTAGCATTAGAGGAATACTGGTTCTGATTATATTTGACGGGCCCAGTATAATAGGTATATTTGTTTCCGATGGTTATTCCAGTGCAGTCTTTTATGTAGAATGTGTTGCCGTTGTTGCTATTAGCTGAAACAAAATTGTCTCTATGAATTAATTTAGTCAAAATATTAACGCGTAACGTTATAGAACTAGCTTTTACGACGTTAAAATCGCTTCGAGATGACGTAAATACCACGTGAAAACTGTAATTCCCTTTCATTGCCGACGTAGTTTTCCTACAATACATGATAATAATAAAACGTTCCTGCCAGCTGCAATGTTTCATCATATCTAAAATAACGCCAATTTGAGTATTCCGCTACGAAGTTTTTTATTATACTAAGTGACGGGACGAACAGATGTAGTGCCGCTCAGAGCTTTAAATAGCAAAGATCTGAGGGGCACTGCTATAGCGCCTGTCTCCCTCAGACGTAAGTTGACAAGTCCCATGTGCCTGTCAGCACCCTTACCCTTGCAAAACCGGAACGCAGTAATGCTCACATTACTTTGAACTCTTTCACAAGCAAGGAGCTCTACTGCTACTTTTATCAGTGATCAGATTAACAATTATTTCATTAACTACTCATTTATTATATGTTTTCTTTTAAAGCAGGTGGTACGTTTTGGATTAGATAAATGTTTATGATACAATTTAACGTCAAAAAATAACATTAATCAACATGGCATAACTTTGAAGTTGTAAAGGCAATTTTTCGTTGCTACCATGTGTATCATATCTGATATCACATACCAGATAAAACATATAATATTCTATTATATTTTACGTGGTTGTAGTTTCTAAAATAAATAATTAAAAATTTAACTTGGGAAAAATAAGTTCGCAAAAATAATCATTGTCGGACCAAAGCTAAGGCGACTTTTTATGAGTTATATCAAGTACGATACAACTGAACAAAAATCCATAATAAAAATTACACCTTAAACAATGAAACATTGTCAATGGACTATTTGTATGGGTACTCAAAAATACATTTTTCGAATTTAGACCTGAATACACGCGAATGTCAGAACGGTCGCCAGAGTTGGTACCAGTACACGACTGTTGTGTTGGGTGCGAGGTGCAAATGCAGTTGTGTAGATTTATTATATTTACTTATATTGTAGGAAATGATGGTTATAAGCAAGGTTACTTATCTTAATCGAGGTCGTATATAGAAGTCAAGTGGAATGGGATCGGGTTTTGTTTCGTTAGGCTCAATTTATATTGCGGCGGAACGGATTGGAAGCGAAGCCAAAATGTTCCGCGGAATTCTCGCGCATACTCGAGAATGCTCTCGCATTCCACGCAAGGTTTTAGCTCGCATCTAGTTTGTACGTTACATTATTGACCATAAAGTGCATTATGCAATGTACAATATCGTTACAAAAATTTGCTTCCATTCCGTTCCGCCGCAATATAAATTGAGCCTAAGAGACGGAAACCAATCAGTACTCAAAACCAAAAGTACTAGGCGTGGGTTAGAGAGGATTTGTCGTGTGGGAAAGCTAAACTTACAATGGTATGAATTTATATCTTCATCTTGTTCACTGTTGCTTCTTGAACTTCTACTTGATGAGGACGGTGAATCGATCGGTGTATCTACCGGTGTACCTTGTTTCTTCTTTGTCATATTCTTCCATGGCTTATTCCGAAAAATTTCCATTAAAGAATCAAAGGTATGCGCCATTATTCAATTTGCGCAACGCTAGTACTAGAGTGTGTTCTTAAAATACCTAGAGTGGAATTACATTGTCAATTTGATATATCGAATATATATACACAGTCTTATCTTTTTTACGATCGTTTTGATTCATAAGATAACAATGATGTAGATATTGCCAACACCGGATATCAATTAAGGAAAACTGGTCTATACTGGACTAGTAGATTCTATAAAGAAAAAGGTATATGGGAGATCGATTAGTTTTTATTAATAACTCTACTTGAAAGAAAGTACTTAGATATCGCACATTCTTTTTATCCTACCACTACGCCATTTGTTTGTGCATTAACTAATATAAATGTACAGGCGATGCCCCAAAAATATACCTGACCTTAATACCGTCTATTTTGTTTTTAGTAGATCAGTGTGGAGAAGGGTGTTAAAAAACTTAACGTTTAACTTACGAACCGTAAAATTCATTTTAGTATGACTTCCTTATTGCATCATTAGTGAATAACGTTTTAAGAGACGTTTTAAATACAAATATTTGTGGCAGTGCACAAAGGACCATTAACTGCCCTTCACCTAAAACTCCGTACTAATAATTTGTGAGGTTGCTTGGAAGAGATCGCTGTCTACCGATAGTACCTTCAACTATGTTTTTATTTTTTATATTGTTACTGTTTATTTTGTGTGCAATAAAGCTTATTCTATTCTATTCTAATATTGACCAAAATGCTGCATGTTGCATTCGTAAGGAGGCTCCAAACCAAAAGGTCGGGCAGATGTCAGATATCTTTGGGCATCGACTGTACATGTACGACCTGTGCTCGAATTCGATCAAGGCAACTTTTCACACCTGAAGTTCTACAGTGATTATGATGACCAGGAATTAAATGACTAGAACTTAGTAACTGAAACGTCGAATTTATTTTAAACTCAAACGTTCAATTTGATTAAGATTTTGACACACTTTTAATGTTTGAGGTCTGATGATGACTTTTAGCTTTTCCATTCTCTAAGCTTTTAGCACACGTTCTATGGTGTAGAACGTATGCTAAAAACGTCGTCTTTTTAGACAGACAAGTAAATTATATACGTATAATAAAACACAAGTAATATTTAATAAGATTTTAATATAACAAAATTATATAACTAAAATTCTGATAACTGAAATAATGTTACTTAATATTATATAGACTGGAATCTTAACGTAAACGTTTTAGTTGTATACATTGACTGTTGTATGGATTACTTATAATACATATTATAAAAAATTATTCATTTGTTTCGTTTATTTATTATAATGTGCAAATACAATTTCATCATTACAGATATACATTCAAATCGATAATGTCACAGTTCATCATTAGTTAATTATTACATACATTAATTAAATTACATACACATTATAATAAAAATTTAAAACATTAGACTCACATAAACCTATTTCTCACATTTTACGTCTAGGGCAATGTCTGTGAATTTAGACAGGGAACAATAAAATATGTCAATTTCTGTAGTAAGCGCGCATGTTGTCCTGAACACAGAAATAGGATCGGTTTTTCGTGTACCGGAGATGGAAGAGTGTGATTGGGCGGTAATACTGAAAGTGCTCCGTTGACTCAAACTCGAGCCCTTTTGCATCCGCTGTCGCACAATTAGGTCCCTAACAGTGCGACGCGGATGACCTACGCGGACGGTGGACAGACGGTAAAATGTATTACGCTTATACCGTACAAATATCATCCGTGACTCGCGGACAGTGCGTGTTGCACTGTTAAGCCGGATACTCATTAGCTAACTGTAACTGTAACGTGCAGATACAGTAACGAGGTTCTAGAGTGTACGCTTGAAACAGTCTTTTTAATACAGTTGCTCAAAACGTGGTATTTTTCGCACTACAAATCATGCGGAAAGTTGGATTTCTCGCACTAAGTAGTGCTTTTTACTATTCCAGTTTTTTTTAAATTTACTGTTGTTTTAAGTCTTAAACATAGAACTAAAGAAGTTGTATATTTATTTAACATTTATGTGCTTTGTGACGTACATAAGTCATTCGTCATAAAAACTTATATTTATTTACAAATACTATATAATGAACGTATCGAGTGGAGGTCCACAGTCTCTGCCTACCCCTGAATGGGTGACAGGCGAGATTTTTATGTATATATTTATTTGTTCTATGTATTACAGATAAATTGTATCTCACTACCGTGCACGGGTTCCTAAAGAAGTTTAAACAAAAGTACCAGGACTTCATAATAAGAAAAGTGGCTACAGACCGATATTACAGAAAATAAACAAAAACAGCACGTTAGAACTAGATTTCCATAGACTTTTAACTAATGGTTGCAGTGGTTGTATTTCATTATTTTAATTAACTAGCAGAAAATGAGTTTTGTTTAAATACTGTTTTATTTTACTTTCAATGTAGTTTTTTCGCAAATGTATTAAAAAACGTCGTTTGATACACGTGCGGATTTGTCATTTTCACTTGTCGCGCAAGCCTCGAGACTCGTGAATAAGGACTAACTTTCCGCACTTATATCAAAAATAACTATATTAGACGGCGCACGCATGCCGCTCGCGGCAAGCTCGCGAACCACGTACACACTATGATTTTTGGTTACATAACATGCAACGTTTACAGTTACAGCTCGCTAGTGCGACCGCACATGCGCGAGCTTAACTAGTAGGCTGCCTTTGTTCCAAAGAAATTTTGTACATTATAATTATATCCATTATTTCATTCACTAGTTGATGTTCGCGAATTTGTCCGTGTGAAATGTATAGATTTTTTGTAATGGGACAGAATGGGTAATCTGAAACCTTAGAAGATGCAAGGAAAGTGTCTTCAGAACTGCTAGTCTTTTTTGTGAAAACAATTTTAGCATCATTGACCTAATTAGCATAGTAAATTTTTTGGTCAAGCATGAGTTATTATGTGACGAAAAAAATCGGGACAGCAGAAGTTGGTCCAATTTCATAAAATATTTTTTCAAACAAAATGAATAAAACTGACAAATTTCTTTTTAATATTAATATACTCAGTTTCCCACGAGGATGACTTCATCGTGTCGGAAGAAAAAAATAGGAACAGCAGAAATTGTTCAAATTTAATGAAAAAAAACTTTCATACAAAATTTATAACATTTTATTAAATTTACACCACCTTTTCCTATCCCGAGCCTTCTCGACGTTTGTCGACGCGCGAAGACGCTCAAATGCTACCTAGCGACGACGCTCGATTCCGTATTTGCAAAACACAAATTTGTACTTTAATCTTGGGAAAATAGAGATGAATATGCTTTAGGCGAAAAACATGACGCGTCGCGACGCTTCGACTCTGCGCCAGTGTGAGTTGAACCTATTACTAAACAATGAGTAAACAGAACAGACTATATGGAAAACATTGTATAAACTAGGAATACGTTCCTCTGTAAGTAACTGAAATACTATATCTATAGGTACTTGCTTTGAGGATCATTCACACCAAGATTCAGGTTAATAGACACAGTGACTTCGATTTGTCCCATATAAGTTGTAGCACGTTGATTTGCCTCCTTTTTGGAGGTACTTTTAATAAATTTTGCAACAATTCAATTTAATACAGCGTAATTGTGATAAAATTGTTCGTTTTCAATCACAACGTATTTGAATCACGGTGAAAAAGAAAACTAAAAGCAGACGAGTGGGTTTGATTGGGTCATACCACCCACCCCGTCAAAAAGGTTGCATTGTTTGATTTGAGCGTTCATACCAAGTTTCAGTATTAATCACAAACAAAATTTTAATTTTATTTATGCTTAAAATAATTTCATGTTGTAGGTATACATGATAATTATGTATAGATGTTGAAGATACGTTCAGCGACCGCAAAGGGCATTTCTGTTTACAATTTGCTCTTTGTTTTTTATATCGATAATTATCATAAAGCTGTTAGGCATTCCTTGTTGACCTCATCCCTATCTCATTTTAGTCTGTAAATCGCTACGTAGCATTCTACATTTAAAACCTGACAACAGCAATAAACAACTAGAAAATTGACATCAAATGTTTTTGCGTACTCAGAAATGTCAACGTCACGTTAGATTATTTATTTACAAAAATCAGGACTTTATAATGAATCGTGATTTTTCTTTTTTCTCTACATTCTTTAATCGTTATCCTTTCGATATATTTGAAACAGTTTATGCGAAAAGTCATTTAAATGACGAACCAAGTGATACTCCGCAGGCGACACAGCAACAGCAGCACCAGCAACTGCATTGTCCAACTGAGTACGCACAGGATAAATATGGCGGCGGAGATGCCCCGGCGCGCAGAAGAGGCAGTGGTAAACGTATCGATGCTTCTAAGAGTTCGACTAGCGACCGCGGCAGAACTGGTGCTGGCGTCACCGGATCTCGGTCCAGTTGCGACGCTCCCGGGCCGACAGGCAGCACTCTCAGCATGATAGCAGGCACAGAGGACTTACCATGCGGTGCCAGGAACCCGGGTCTTCTCCGGTATATACATAATGCAGCTCGCTACAGGTTACCACAATGTTTCGAAGGCGCATGCTTAAATGTAAAACAACGTGCCCGTCCAAATTGGGTGTTGGGACACACTATGTCGTTTAGTTCAGTGTCACCTGGAGGGTACAAGCTGCTGTTATCCTACGTGGATCCAGAAAAACCCGCACATCCGCCGTACTTTGTTATACAAGCGGCACCCGGCGGGCAAATAAGCTGCGAAGTGCGAGTAGGTCCGACGGAAGGGACACGTGCTACCATAGTGACACAGGTCGCCGACGGAGAGTTTTACAGCTTTGAAAGCATCTTCGATGCTTATTTTTCTTCTGCCACTGCGTCTGTGATCGCCGTGAACAAGGAGTTCATTGCACTACATTATCTACATGTTCGTACGCATATTGTATGCGAGTATTCGGTTGTATATCGCACTGCTATTACAATAGTGTTGTAACTCGAAATATGTAAATTTTAAGTTTCCATCATTACTGAACGTAAAATTTGATTCTCTACACTTCAATAAAACCGTCGTTAGAATATTGTAAGGGATAATCAAAGTTCTGGCCAAAACAAGCCTTATTAAAAAAATATGAAATTATTGTTCCCCTTTTATTCTTAAATGTATTTGCAAGTAGCAAATTGTGTAGATGTCTATAATAAACTGTAACCTATGCATAAATTTTAATGATCTTTCACGGGAAGTGATTCGTTTGTTTTTTGTCGATTCTCAGAAAATACACTTTTTGAGTTAATATACTATTATGCTAACAGTGCGATACATCAATTTTTTAAAACAATTTTCTTAACACATTATGGTGGTTCTAGGCAATAACAAAAAAATTATCTCTGGGCGCGGAAATAGTTGCGCGAGGGCATGTGACAGAGCTGAGCTCCGCGTCTGCGGCAGCACGCTGGTCTACCAAGCAACAGGCAGTAAGCATGACCTTGGGCAATCGAGGGGTCGACGTGTGCTTCGCCAGTGCTCTAAAGCCCTTCCTCACGGTAGCCGCAATGATTGAGGTAAGCCCACCTTGAATGACCCTGTTCGCGTCCACGTTTTGGATGTAATTAATTATTTCACCAAAAAGTAATTTTCGTTTTTGTTCTACAACTTTTAAATATACCTATTTCAGAGTTGTTGAAAAAAATAACGTAAAAAATGAAAATGAATATTTTTCTCTCACAACACTTCCCAAATTTTCTTGTGGATTATAACAGTATATCGCGGTAGGTTTTATTCATTCATTATTAGTAATAAACCAAAGTTTCTTCAAGGAGGTGGTTTGATGGCAGGTGGGGTTCGCGGTGAAGCGTGCTTTGGGCACGCTAGCATACGAATGGCGCAGCACAGATTGGACGGTGCGCGCGTCTGTCGACTCGGACGGGCTGGTGGGCGCAATGTTGCAACGTACGCTTGGCGGCAAGAACGCCAATCTCTCGTGTGCGATCTCCGCGCTCCTGAACCACCCTAACGACAAATTCAAACTAGGCTTCGGAGTCACCGCCGCTATAATATAAATCGAATACGGTTTGCCTCGGAACTATTATGTTCTATTGTAAACATAAGTTATTGCTACACGGACTCTTCTGACTGCATCCATCAATAAAAGTGGCACGTGATCTCAAACTTCACCTAAATAAAAGATACATTCAAATTATACGTAATTATGTTTTACACACTTGGACTGATTATCTCAATTCGCTAAAAACACGCAAACTATTGGAATTATGTAAGAGCACGTTTTGTCCAAATGTTCAAGCTAAAAACCAACAAAACAATTTAGTAATTAAACTTCTGCTTTGTTGTCAGTAAAAATGGGGCAAGATAAAAATAATTTCTTTAGAGTTATCAATTTAAATAATTAAATATGATGCAATTATCTATCATGTCGTTTAGAGTTACATTTACACAGGTGGTAGGTGCTGGACCGTATTACGTTTTCATATAAAAGTTTTTGCGCAACTATGCGTGTTCAAAGCAATTGTGTGGTGGTGTGGTTTTATCAATTTGTAGGGGAGTATGAAAATAGAACACAATTAAAATCAAAAATTTTAATAGTAAGTGTAGCTGAAACATCATTTCTACATTGGCGCATTACCTTACCTTACCTACCTTACCTTACCTTGCATTACCTTACCTATCTTACCATTATAATTAAAAATCTAGCGGAGATTGGATTAACCAATTTTTTTTTACTAAATCGCGGAGTTCTAATTTTCTTCGTGGTCTACTTGGTGTAATAGTAATTTTAATTAATTAGGTCTTTTGGAGTCAGTAATTAATTCTATTTTGTCTGTTCATCGTGCCCGAACTCGGAAAAGTGATTTGGAATGCCCTTGGATTCAATGTGCTTGCACATGGATTGAGTAAGCTGTGAGTGAGTACTCAACACAGTGTTTTAGTACTGGATCTTAGAGAAATTTTGATAAAACGTTCAGACTTAAGCAATTTTAGGAATATTTGGAAAAAACACAAAATTTTTGAAAACATGGAATTGGAACTTACAAAATTTGTGTTTTTAGACAATGATTTCTGTGTTTGGACTTTTATCGTGTGGTACTTAGTACATTTTTGTTTCTAGAAAGGGAAAGTGATATAATGGAACGAAACACTTATGGTTCAATATGAGTTTAATAAAAGGCTACACAAAGCCGAAATAAATTTATAAAAGTCTAAAGGAACCTTAAATAAGTATAAATATGAAAATAACTATGATCTGAATTCAAGACAATCAGAATGCAAGACGCTAAATGCGCACGGGGAGGAGCTTAATTTACAGGAGATACAATTGGCTGGTCCAGAATATGCAACTGCAACATCGGGTAAAATTTATGTTTTACTTGGAGTTAAAGTTTACAATCATATAATACGTGTCATAGCCTTAAGGCCTTTTGGTAGTCTCAGGCAAGACACACAGAGACATTTAGAAGAAGATAGACTTATAAGCATGCGTAATAAAATATTGTGAGACGATTGGCTGAAATATTTTTGGGTGTTCGATGTGGAATCGAATAATAATGACAATTGAGATGAGTTGTAGCACTGAAAAAGATGTGTTGCCTGCTATGCAATGTATATAAAAGAGGCTGGTTACATTAAAGATGTTGACTACGATAGCAGACGTCCGATGATCGTGTCTGCTAATCATCTTAGTAAACCTATAGTGAAGGCCGCTGACGTAAAAATGCTACGTTTATTCGTTCAAAGGTTTGCATTCTGCGATTTAGAGATTAAGTGAATAGTGACTATGTAGGTCAATGGTCACTATATAAAATAACAACAAACATCCGATGATCGTGCCGGCTAATCATCTTAGTAAACCAATAGTGACGAATGCTGACGTAAAAATGCTAAGTTTATTCGTTCAAATTTTTGTATTCTGCGAATTAGAGATTAAGTGAATAGTCACTATATGTATCACTTTCTCTTAGCACGAGTAACTGCTGCCTACTGCCTTCACGTAAAAACGGGTTAGAAATGTCACTTAGAAACAAGTCCATTGTCTAGATCTTAATGGTAACGAAGAACGACAAGGGCATTTTATGGTGCCAATAAACATCTCCAAGAGATAACAGATTGATTAAAGTTAGGAATATGTGAGAAAGAGCACTCTTGCGCTTTATGATAGAAATTAGTATTCTTATGACTACATATGGCTTCTCACGTTTCTTATTTTGTCAGTTTGTAAGCATCGAGCTTACTTTATGCCAACGCCATCTTAAACGAGTAATTGGGTAATTTTAACTTACGTGGAGCTTATCTACGGTTTTTTTTCACATTAAAAGTGTTTAAGATTAGGGTCGAGTTCGTTATGGAGTAACCCAAATGACATCAGACCAGTTCTTATTTGGAAAACCTAAATGTAGCTGCTGTTCTTATTTATTCTGACAACACTTTGGCAAATGTGCTTTAGGTCAAATTATAGATAAATATCTCGGTCCTGATAAATAAATAGTCGTGTGGGATCAATGGAAATGAGTTTTAAGTAATGTTTGTATTTTGCAGATTGCATTTTGATTTACATTTTTTAATTCGCGTTTGGTATACGACTGATGTCTACAATGTTTTTGTTGCGACTGTTATATTATCACGGTCTGCAATTATTTTTGTTATTTTATAATTTTAGTTCGTTGTCTGTTGAAATGAGTATCTTCACACTTATTGTTACTTTGATAATATGATAATACCTACGTCTGACCCGGAGATTAACTTTAGCTTTGCTTTTGTTATTTTGCATCTGTAGTTTAAGGACAATGTCCTCGACGGGCAGAATGTTTGAATTTACAATGTCGTTCAGGTATAATTTGTACAGCGAGATAAGTAAGTCAATGGCGAGATAATATACATCTTATGCGTGATTTGTTCAGATTGATCATTCATACCCACTGCATTGATGTTTTGAATATGCAAAAGTTCTTGTATAAATATATTCATGACATACCACTTTAAAGTACTCAAAATATAGAGGTGATGTCGCATTTAACACCTCTGTGCCTCTACCATGAGTTGTCGCTAGCAACCGCGCACTGCTCAATTTGCCATACAAAATTGGCAAATTTTGATGAGGTCGTTAGCGACAACTGTCACTAGCATAGCGGAGACAGGCGCTGAACTAAAATGAAACCTTTTTTTCTTACAGAATACGATACAGATATTCAATTGAAATTAAGTTTGTGTCCGAACTGACATCACGAATGTAGATTTAGATGTTATTAGTTACTTATATTTATATATAACGTTAATAAAATGTTTTGTCTATTTTACTTTGCTTCAATAAATGTATAGATTGTATTGTGTAAATATTTTACTGAACACTTAACCCCAAAAGTGGTTCAGGATCGTTTTCCGTTGTCTGTCGTCACTAAACACCAAATTTATTCCAAATCACCGCAATCACTGTGTCCCTTCGATTTACACTCGTACACAAACACCAAAGGACTGTATTAAAAATTCATGTGCAGCATAACGATAATGTAGGCGTGTATTATGCGACGTGGAGGACGGAGGTCGACATGGCATCGCGGCAGCCGCGGCGGCGGCGGCAGCTGGGCGGGCGCCTGCGCCAAAGCAAGGCGGGGTTTGAAACACCGCCTTTACCAACCTGTAGCGCCATTAAATACCCTCCGTCATCCCGACAAAAGCATTTTTCCGTTGAAGAGATACCAGGAGTGTGAGTGTAGGCGTAGGGCCCGCCTCCACTGCAGTGTGTGTCACGTAGAGCTGTATGGCAGTGTGGCGGCGCGGCGCCGCGACCTCGCGGCAGTAATGGTGATGGAGCGGCTGGCGGACTTCGTGAGCAAGTCGCTGGAAGGCGGCGAGGCCCCGGCGCCGCCGCCCGAGCCTGGCGACGACGAGGCTGATGAAGAAGTTGACATCACGGCGCTGGAGGACAAAGCGCCACCGGCCAAGCGCCCGCGCAACTGGCTGTTATCGCCGCCACCGCACCCGCCGCCGCCCGCCTGCAAAAGAGATCCTGACGACGATGATGAGAGCAAACACGGTAATCTCCTTCATTCCATTTTGAAGTAATACTATTACAATATATTATAGGGATACAATATTTTCTTTTAATTTAAATGGGCCTACTATATTACTGAGGTACCCTTTTTCAAACAAAAAAAGATTAGAAACGTCGGAGCGATCGCTTACTGCATTGATGTTTTGAATATGCAAAAGTTCTTGTGTAAATATAATAATACACATACAAAAAAAATATAATCGAATTGAGAACCTCCTCCTTTTTTAAAGTTAGTTAAAAATTATAAGTAATCCATTATTAAAGAGTCCATTATTATTTCCCAGCTTTCTCTGCCAGATTGCACAGTAAGTCATTTACTGGTGAAAAGTAAATAAATACGTCAATCGTTTATTTCTCAGAAATAACAAACAAACAATACCAAATGGCAGCTGGTGAAAGATTAGATATAATAATGTGTTCAGTTCGGCACACATAAAAAAAAATTACTGTTTAGGCAACTACTGTAGATAACGTTAGATAATTTTAAGATTGATTTATATTGTCCTTTTTATTGCACCACACTGAGTGTCAAGTCCCAACTCATGCAGACTGAAGATTTCGTATGTTTTATGAGTTTTTCAACCTTGTGACATGCAAGTTTCCTACGTTTATACTATGGTATAACAACCACCATACTCGATGCATCCACCTAATATGTAGCAGTTGTACGTATGTATAATATAAGGTGTTTTGTTTTTTTACACTTAAAACCCCGCACTAGGAAAACCCTGTATGGCGGGTGTCATGGACACACACTTAGACAGCCACAAATTACACCCAAACTCACTGTATGGCGGGTGTCATGGACACACACTTGGACAACCACAAATCACACCCAATCTCACGAGAGAAATAAATGAAGGCCAAACAAATAATTCTCTCTGCCCGGGAATAGAACCCGGAACCTCCGCGTGGCAGACCAGCATGGTAACCATTCAGCCATCGAGGCAGTTGATACGACAAAATAACATTTTCAGGTTAGTTTTGTCTACGTTATTAAGGTAATTTTGTTATTTAAGTATTCCAGTAAATTATCGTGAAACATAATATTTCTGGACACCAAGACTTGAGTGTTGGTTAAATTATTGAAAAACATTTGAATGTTAAGTAATACTTCAAGATAATGTTCTAGAAAAAATGCCACCGAAATTAGGTACAGAAAACTAACCTGAAAATTACCCAATTAAGCGTATGTCGATGCTTCCGCTTGTTGTACTTAAATTTCGTTAGCTTACTTTTGGTCGAAGTTAGTAATTATTATGAACATTTTGTATGGAACAGATGTGAAATTTTCGTGAATAGAAACGGGGTCCCCGTGGTTACGTGTTATATTAGTAGAGTGGATTGTGATCTAGTATTACCCGGCTATTGTACGAATGTACATTCTCTAAAATTCATACCCATGTTTGGTATCATAAAGTCCCATGTAATTATACGTCAAAACTGCTTTTAGTAGATAAAAGTAATATAAATTAATTATATATTTTTTAAATAATTTAATAAGAACTACACGAAAAAATAATATGTGTGAGAATCTTTATAACTCTCCTATTTACTAATTTCGTTGATAGAATCTTTAAATCACTGTCCTGAAAGTTATCACTTTACTGAAGTGCCTTTATTACACACAAACGGTGCGAATTAACAATTTATTAGAATAATTAAGTGAGTTGTGTTTGAAAACTGTGTATCTTATTTCTTATCTTATTTAAAATTAATTATCTATCTTATTCACTTATAATGACAATTATATCAATAAGTAAATAAGATAAATAACATAAGGCGTTTATTGCGTATGATATGAGACTACAAAACCTCAACAAAATCGCCCAACAAACATTTTGGCGTTAAAGTCAACCTTTTTTTAGCGCTCACACTCTCATTAATTATATATAAGACCTTCCATAATAACGTTTGGCTCTATTGTGGTTATAGGGATAAATAATTAAACCTTCAAGAGGAATAACAGTAACATAGAAAATAATTATTACCTAAGACGGTTGTATGGAGTTGGCCGGAACGGTTGTATAACTTAACTCTTATAGCTTTAAGAAACTAAAACACTAAAAGAAAGTGTACGATATCTACTAACGGCTGACTTAAACAGAGCCATTAAATGACTTGTACCACCTAACAAGTTCTATCGGGCCCTAAGAGTTAACAAGAAAGCTTTCAGTGTCTCAGAAGTGTCAATTATAGATCCTATAGAGCTAGACGCTGCAAGAGTCAGAATTCACCTTATAATAATTGCTGGTTATATAATGGAGTTACAATTTTTTACAATTTAGGTAATACTGAGGTTTTAAAAACACTTGCAAACCTTACTGGCAGTGTCAAGAGAATAGCTCTCAAAGATTAGATCAATGCAACAGCTTTACATGGAACCATTATGTAAGACGAAAAGACGAACCTATAAAGCTTTTCACTTATGTAGCCATATTGTAGAACTACAAGTGGCATGTAAGTGCTGAATGTCATGTACAATGTAATATCAGAGTTCAGAAATTTTGAAAGTGAAAACACTTTTTTTTAATATTATAGGCCTACGTATTTACCTTAATTATTATCGATTTTATATTAAAATACGTATAGAAAGTACCAGGTACTGTTATTCACCATAATCGAAAGAAAATAAAAATAAATTAGGCAGTAGTTTTTTCTATAAAATATCATCAAAAATTGTTTATTTTTGAGGCGTTTCAAAATTGAGATGAAAACTAATACATAATATACATATATATAAATATAATTTTACAGAAACATTACGCTGTGACATTTATAATCGTAACACCAGTAATCCAAAACACATATAATTTACTATTTTATTACATACTTCCAAATATTCATTTCGATATATCGAACGTGAATGTACGTACAGACCTTCTGTTAAATATTTTAACTGTATTGACCGTAACAAAAACTCAAAATTATGAAAATGTATGAAACAGCGCTTTGGGTGATCTTTATTACCACTAAATACTACGATTTATTCTTAAGGTATATATTGTATCGCGAAAGCATTGTTGTGTTACAAAATAAATTAAAACAGTGGACTTCATAAATTATTTACTACTTTAGCTTACCTGTGTATAGCTTACAAAATACTTAAAAGTGGCTTCAATAGCACTATTGCAACTCTTTATTATCACTCATTATCACGATGCTATAACCATTAAGTTACTTTAAGCTCTAAAATCGTGGGTCCAAATCAGGATCATGTGATAGTTTATAGCGTGCTATATTACCAATTCTATGTGCCTTTATAGAACCTTAGATTCTTAAAATCCTTTTTAACAGCTCATGTATCACTTAGTCTTATCACCAAAATGTTAGCAGGACGGTCTAAAAAGGCATGACGCAATGTTGTTTTTAAATGTTGCAATATCGCTAAATCCAGCTGAACATATCACTAGATATCTCTATCAGTCGTAGGAGTATCGCTGCTGATATTGAAGGCTGGTGGAGGTATTGTAACAGATTACACTAAAATATTTTCATTCTTTGTGATTGGCTGTTTGTGAGGGCTTGTGCTACTTTATCTAAATTATGATTCACTGAAGCAAAATTTTCCACTGTACAAATTTGAAAAGGCGAGATAGTGACGAGTTTCAAATTAAAATTCAAAATTCAAATTCAAATTCTTTATTTGCCACGTCACAAAGCTCGTAACATTTAGCACGTCAATAGTACAAAATATCTTATCAAAGTCATTTACTACTAACATTTAATATTACCTGTAACTAACGCACACACTCAACATACTGCTACAACTAAATTCAAAGATTTGCACAATATACACATAAATTTAAATATTTTTTAATAATAATGTGTTATGAAATAAATCGCTTATGTAATAAATCATTAATAGATACATTAAATGTCATAAAATAATGAGCATTTTTTTAATGCATAAGGTCAAAATATTCGTCAACTTTAAAGAATGGATTTTCAATTAAAAATTTTTTTTATCTTTGTTTTGAATTCTAATTCGGGCAATTCGGATATAGTCGGGGGTAGTTCATTGTATAATTTTGTCTTTAGACAGTAACCTTGCTTAGCAGTTCTTTTCAATCTCGTTTTTGGTACTATCAGTTTGTTTTTGTTTCTAGTATTGTAAGTGTGTATGTCTCTGGTTCTTTTTAATTTTTTTTAATTTATTCTTCTTTTTATGTACTTCCTTCAAAGAATTAAAAATAAACAATGATATTACTGTCATGACCCCCAATTTAACAAAAAAGATTTTTGCGGATATTCTTCTTTGGATACTTTGGATACCACTGATTATTCTTATCGATTTTTTCTGTAGCACCAGAACGTTTTACATTGGCGCCGTTGCCCCAAATTGTCACAGCGTAATTTATTATCGAATGAATGTACGCATAATACACAGTCAACAATGTATTTTTATAGATTAATGGCTTTAATTTAAGAAGTGCATAATTTCCACCTGTTATTTTATTACACACATTATTGATATGAGTTTGACGACTCAAAGTATTATCAATAGCATAGCCTAAAAATTATATATTTGATTTAAAATCTAGCGTACGTTGTTGCGTGTGTGCGTTGTTGAGTGTGTGCGTTGTTTTCCCGAGCAATATTTCATAACAGTTGTTTTCTCTTTATTGAGTAGTATACCGTTAGCAGTAAACCATTTGTCTAATAGGCTAACTACTTCATCAACTTTTTGTGCAATAACTTCCTCTTCCTTATCTTTCATCCCGACATAGGTGTCATCAGCAAATAAATTTACAAAGCTCCACTTAGGCAAGCTGTTTTGCAAGTCATTTATATATACTAAGAATAATATAGGGCCCAATACAGATCACTGTAGTACCCCGATGTCAGACTTTCCCAGTAGAGAAACAGATTCTTCAATTTATACCAATTGATTCCTATCCTTGAAAAAGCTATTTAATAATTTTAATGCAACGGGATCCAGACCGTAATACTCAAGCTTACACATAAGGATATTATGATGTATACAATCAAAGGCCTTTGAACCACATTGCATATTGCATCTGTAGTTGACCTACCCTTCCTAAATCCATATTGCATTGTACTATAAATATTTTCAGTCTCAAATTAGCTAGCAAGTCTATTTTTTATTACACACTCCAAAATTTTTGATATACATGGAAGAGCACAGATTAGCCTGTAATTGTTCATGTCATCTTTAGATCCTTTTTTAAAAAGACGAATTGCGCGTCCTTTTTTTAGTACTTCTGGAAACACTCCTTGGCTTAAACAACAATTCATTACATGAAGCAAGTTGCTGTAAGTAACTGTCTTCCAGGATCAAACGTTACAGCGTTTCAGTATCCATGCCATAAACATCTTTAGTTGGTTTTCCTTTTATTTCTTTTATCACTTTAATGAGTTCTTTATTTTCAATGGCCGTGAATGTCAAGGTAGATACTGGTTTTTCTGTGTGTTCTAAGTATTTTTTAAATTTAGATATGTCAACATCTACGTGAGCCGAAATCAGTTTAGCTATTGTTAAAAAATAATTATTAAATACATTAGCTATCTCTGTAGCCTCAGTAAAAATGGTTCCTTCGTTATTTTTCACATATTGTACACATAATGTTTCTTTTATTTTTTACCCTTGTCTTAGTTGCTCATTAATGATTGCCCACGAAGCTTTAACTTTATTATTTGCCTAATAATTTGTTTAATGACGGGACTGATTTCCACATGCTTTATGTATTTGCAGGATTATTTTTAAAATAGTATTAACCTCACAGGAATATATTATTAGTAACGTTAGTATTATAAACAACAAATTTTGTTCCATGACTTTTTACACAACATATAATATCATTGCAAAACATACTAAAATTTACCAAAAATGAACTTTTGAGTTTTTCTTTCACTATCTGATACTTTTTAAGCCGAGTATTCACTAGCGAGCTGTAACTGTAACCGTTGCATGTTATGTAACCAAAAATCATGGTGTGTACGTGGTTCGCGAGCTTGCCGCGAGCGGTACGCGTGCGGTTCGCAGTGAGCCGTCTAATTGAAGACTATTTCAAGCGTACCTACACACTAGAACCTCGTTACTGTATCTGTCACGTTACAGTTACAGCTCGCTAATGAGAGGTTTAAGACCTGTTTTTTTAGAAACGCTCCCATGTCATTCCTAAAAATAATTTTGGTGGTGGGTGCTTCCTTTTGCTACCGCACAGAGTTATCATCATGTAGAGCGATCTATTTAAATATTTTTATTTTTGTACGAAAGTAAAATATGAATTATTAAATATCATGAAGCAAAATGTGGTTCATGATGATGGTAATATAATCCTGCGAGGTTGTTAGTATTTTACAAACACACAGAGCCCATATTGTTTTTTGTTTTCAATGTTGTGTTTTGCACCAAAATTTTAACAAGCAATCAATAGGAAGATTTTTGCAAGTTAACAAATGAAACGAACGAAAGCGAAACGGATAAGCTCTAAATGGATATCCGGAAAAGACTTTTCAATCAAATAAATCACAGGCAGAGTTTAAGGGGGTTATTCCGTGAATCGTTTGACAATTAATCAGTGTTCGCAGGTCGTTAGGCGTCTAAGCAGCGCGGATGCCCCGGAGACAAAAGGGGGAGAGGAGTGTCCCGCGGCGCCGCCCACACTCGGATAATCCCTCCATTTACATAATTGCTGTATAAAAAGGAGAGGTTCCCAATTTGCTAAATTGCTTCAAATGACACTTGGGAGCATCAGCGTGTCGATGGCTCGTCTGTCACCGTCTGAGCAGTTCCGCTCAATCGGACGGCGACGTTTATTTCACATCGTTGACACTAGATATTCCATAGACCTCGTTTCAAATCGAAGCGAAAGTGTATGAAAACTTTTTTCCTTTTTAGCCACTAGCGATGAAGAACGAAACATGAAAATTTGTCATCAAATCATGTGTCTTAGCCATTTGAAATCCTTTAAAGCTTAAAGAATACATGTTTCTTAATCAAGGAAGGATTTCTATTTAGGTTTTGCCGTAGAAGTTTCAAATACTAACACCTAACCCATTTGATAATTCTCATTTTGGGAATGACAAATTACTTTTTCTGATCTAATCGACTATATGTGTATTTTCCAACAAACCTATGTTTCGGACTTTTCTTAGTGGCTCACTGAATTCTGACAGACGAATTCTCACCTATCCTTAAAAGTATAACTTACCTGTTGTAGAATAAATCGAATAAAGTGCAGTATGCTAAGGGATCTTACCCAGTTCCCTATCTTAAGCACTCCCCATGGGACTAGGGAAGTGTCGAGTCATTTGAAATGCGGATACATAAAATCTGTAGTAGAGATGTGCTGAACGAATAGGCAATATTGAAAAGTTTTAAAATAATTTTTGATTATTTATGCTTTAGTAGCAGTAAAGCTCCTTGTGAAAGAGTTCGTCCAGGGTAGCACTCCCACCTTACCTATTTCTGCCGCCAAGTAGTAATGTCAGTATTATTCCGGTTTTGAAGTGTAAGGGTGCTGGTGAAATTACAGGCACATGGGATTTGTCAACGTATGTCTCAGGATGACGGGCGCAGTGGCAGTGCGCCTCAAATCTTTGCGATTTAAAGCTCTGAGTGGCACTGCAACTTTTATGGACAGGCGTGTAGCTTACCATTAGGCGTATGACTCGTTCTTTCCGTCATTTGATATTATAAAAAAAATTCTGAAGTCTCATTCTAACTTTGGTTGTTTCTCGAAATCGACGTTCAAAATTTCATTTGAAATTTACCATGAGCTTTTCGGTGAAGGAAGAAGACGGTTTCATTACCCTCGGAAAACGTGTAAGGTCACCAACCCGCATTGAGCAGATGGGGCGGACTATGACCTAAACCCGTGCTTGAGAAGAGACCTGTGACAAGCAGTGGGATGTATAAATGTGTTGATGATGATGATGGTTAGGCAGCTATCTAGACCATAATTAAATATGAATATATTCCAAATTGCTAATGACACAATAATTTATGACAGATGTGAACGAGAAAACTTCAAACGGACTATTAAACAATGGCAGTGGGAAACAGCGTCGGTCTCGCACGAATTTCACGTTAGAGCAACTGGGCGAGTTGGAAAGGCTGTTCGACGAAACGCACTACCCGGACGCCTTCATGCGGGAAGAGCTCAGCCAGCGGCTGGGACTTAGCGAAGCTAGAGTACAGGTAATTTAACACATTTAGGTATCGAGAGCATGAGGAAGACCTTCGAGAATACAAAACTAAACTTATAGTTTACTGTTTTTATTTTTATACTTTGATAGTAACTTCTCCAACAAATATAATAATAATTTGAGTTTTGTTATCCGTGATGAGAGTCCTGGTGTCCTATATTACAAGTTGCCAGTCTCTTTTAAAGCATATATAGCAATGTAATTGTTTGTCTACTATATTTTGGTTTTATGTTTGTGAAGAAAAAAGTAAATACAATCCTTTAAAAACCATTTACAGTTTATTTTAATGAAGAACGAATGAAATTAATGACCGCATCGCAAATTAACATGCCATTTTGCTATTTTTAACCGACTTCAAAAAAAGGAGGAGGTTTGCAATTCGACTGTTTTTTTTATGTATGTTACGCGATAACTCCGGTATTTGTGAACCGATTTCCATGATTCTTTTATTGGAAAGAGAGTACCTCGATAGTGGTCCCATTTAATTTAAAAAAAAACATCCACCTCTAAGGGTGGCTGTTCGCGCATGGAGATTCACTTTTACAAATAGCGCCTAAATTTGGTTATAAGGAGCAATTGTTTTAATGGTTGATTTTGCAATTCTCCAATTCAAGGTGTTTTTCTCTCTTAATATACTTTAAGTAGTGAGAACCGATTTTTATTATCTCCTGTGTCAAGTTCCTTATAGCGGCGAACTAGGGGGTGAATCCGGGTTTGTGCACTTTCCGGTGACCTATTTCAGTAAAACTTGGTATTTATATGTAATTACTCGTACTTTTGAGGTCGGTTTTTTTAGTACTCTGTACTGAGATTATTATTTTAACTCAGATAATATGGTACTTGTTTGCTTTGCTTAGTGTGCGTAATCATGTTTATAACTAGCTGTATACATATTGACTTTGAAATTTGAATGGACTTATAGCAAAATCAAAAAGCTACAAAATAAATAACACAAAGATGTAAATCCACCGATGTGAAGTGCACCGTCACAATTTTTTTTTTTATAATAACGCACACACTCAACATAGCCTCGCACTAGGGAAACCCTGAGTCGCGGGTGCCATGGACACACACATAGACAAACAAATTACACCCAAGCTCACAAGAGAAATAAATGTAGGCCATACAAATATTTCTCCTGGCCCGGGAATCGAACCCGGGGACCTTTGCGTGGCAGTCCGGTATGGTAACCATTCGGTCACGGAGGCAGTTATATCTACACTTATTTCTTTTTTATCTGTCATTCATGCTGTTACCGATTAAGCGTCTGATAACCTAGTCAGAATTGTGATCACAAATTTGTTAAACTCAAACTCACCATCTTTATTTCGTACGGAAGCAAATGACACTTGGAATCGTCAAATGGATTAAACTCTACTGCTAATTCGTAAGGCAGATTCCCCTGAGAATTATGAGCAAGAAACTCTAGGGTTTGCTTTTTGTAAATAAACGTTTAGTACTACATACACACATCAAAAAAAGTTTGCGATCACTTCGAAAAACTGAAATCTTTTTTGTTACTGTAGATTATATTATGATTTTTTCTTCTTTTTAGATTCTTTATTTAAAAATAAATTAGAACATAAAACAATGACCCCGTTCAATTGTTTTTTCATATAAAAAGGCTTTCAGTCCTAGCTTACGCTCAATCAGAAATCTGATTTAGTCAATTATAAGCGATTCAAGATATTTTTCGCGGAAAGTTGTGATTGAAAAAATGCCAAGAGGATTATCAGAGGTTTTACGAGCTAGAATAGTAACTTTGAGGGAAGAAGGATACACCACGAGAGTAATAGCACGCAGACTTGCTATATCCCAATCCTGTGTCGTGGCTACGTTGCAGAGGTATCACGGAATGGGGAATTTAGCTGACCGACCCCGCAGCGGTCGCCCAACTGTTTTGACAGCTGCCCAAAAGCGCTATATTAGATTGCTGGCAGCCCGTGATCCAACAATCAACGCCACTAAAATAAAAGCAGAAGTCAGGGCCGCCTCTGGGCTTGAAGTTAGCACGCAGACCGTTCGCAATTGCTTGCACCAGACTGGATTACGAGCACGGAGGTCTAGGCGAGCTCCGCTCAATTCCCGGCAACGTCAACAACGAAGATTGCAGTGGGCTAGACTTCGGCAAAATGAAGAAGGTGAGGACGTAAACATTTGGCAAAACTGTCTCTTCGTTGACGAATCCCGAATCAGCACTCATTCAGATAACCGACGTGTCCGTGTCTGGAGAAGACCAGGCGACCGTGAAAGACAAAGAACTGCCACTGGAACAGTTCAGCAAGGCGGAAAATCGGTGTCCTTTTGGGGTGGCATTATGATTGGAGCTAGAACGCCTTTGATCCCGTATCGGGGCTTCATGACAGCAGACATGTACAAAGCAGTTGCTATTGATGATATCGTCAGACCATTCCGAGTAAACCATGGGCACCAATTTGTACTGGTCGATGATAATGCGCCCGCACATCGAGCTCAACGAGTCAATGCTGCTCTTCAAGAATACGATATCACACGATTAGACTGGCCTGCCGGCTCGCCCGACTTAAACCCAATAGAGCACGCGTGGAATGCTCTTAAACCAGCAGTATGGAACCGTGAGCCACGTCCCCAGACAGTTCCAGAGCTCAGGGAAGCCGCTTTTGAAGAATGGGATAGGTTACCCCAGGAAATGCTGGATAACTTGATCCTCAGCATGCCCAGGAGGATCTTCGCATGTATTCGAGCCAGGGGAGGAGTTATTTTATATTGAATTCACACCTTTTAATAATAAATTGTTGTTTAAGTTTAATTAAACAGTCTTTTTCTTTCTATGAAATTTCTATCACTATTACATTATGATTAATGGCTCAATTTTTTAAAATAAATAATACAAAATAGTTTTATATTTTAATTTTAAACAGGGTATTCCTATTTAAAGAAAGCATACAACATAGACTTTTTCTTGATAAAGTTAAATTTAAAGAATTATAGGAGCTTATGCTATTGATCGCAAACTTTTTTTGATGTGTGTAGATATCGTTTTTTTATTATTTACAATATTTACAAACGTCATGGGTCGAAACAATGTGCAGGAGCTAAACGGGTCAGTACCACGGATTTTTGTCATCTAAGTAAGCTGAAGCTGTGTAATAAACCTTCAGCTTAAGCAAATTTAAATTTATTATAAAGAATATCAACCGGAATCTTATTATAGAAGCGTATACGTTGCCCCTTGAGTGAATTTGTGACTTTGAGAAGACGACTTTCAAGAACAGGCACTTTTTCTTGTTTCTCGTATTAAGGGCTATGTCTGTCGCTATCTTTCGTTAAAAAAAATGTCTTCTTAACCGTAATTACATTTTCATAGGTTAGGTTAGGTTAGATTGCAAAGGGTATAATTTTTTAATAGTTACTACTATTTTATCTGTTGCTGCCGCCAACCGTGAGCATTA